AAAGGCAGATTCCAAGTCATCCCAAAGCACTCTGTCACTTCTTCTCTCCCTCACAGTTCCTCCACCTCTTTTTCGAAGTTGTTGTTTAAATTTTTCGTTCAGAGATTTGAGGATTCCGATCGTTGTTAAAATTTTCGTTTTCTCTCCGGTCGTAAGAGTAACGTTTCTCAGAATTTTGTTCAAAAGTCGGATACTTTGAGTTCCAAATTTCGTCCAATTTTCAATTTCTGCTGTCGATGAACCCTTCTTCAGAAGTTTATACGCTCCTTCCACAATCTCAATCAACTTTTTACACTTTGTAGAATCCATCTCGTTAATAGCAATAAGGCACTTGAAGGTTCAACAAACAATGATCGCTGCGCATCATCGAAGGGCCTTTTAGACGAAGGTTTCAAGGATTTCCTGGAATTGTTTTCCATCGGTTCGAGCGATAAGACACTTACCCGAATTGCGAAATCGAGAACGCATTTTCTAGAATATTCAGTTACAAGTAACGATGCAACTACATCATAAAATAACTTTGCAACAAAAGTCCTTTGAGTCGTCATCTGTAAAACTCAACCTAAAAATGGGGCACTCGCATGGGAAAGAAGGAGAACGAGCCAAGAGGGAGAGAGAACAGTTTCGAAGAGATCGGTACCACGAATAAAACTTATATTATTATTTATCTGTTTGAAATTTAGAGACTCCATTGGTACTATACGTTTTAAGTAAAATTCTATATGTATACATCTATCGGCAGTTATACTCGTATGGTAAAGACAACTATAATATTATTACTATTACCATAATTACATTTCTCCCAAATATAAATTTCCGAATGTGATATTTAATTATAAAATATAATTACCCAATATCGCTTGCATGCGCTAACATAATAATTGACTGCCGATTTGTATTGTTCTAAAGACTATTTATTTGCCAAAGTTCCAAATATGACGGTTTTAACTAGTCAAATACCTGCAATTATTATTACCGCTAGTTGGAATGCCTTGTAAAATAATAATAACTCATACAATCCCAGCTAGCCGTTCTTATTACAACACGTACGGTCAACACAAAAGCATGTTATACTCACGGAAACATCCATTCGAGTATAATAAAATAAAATAGACTGACCCTTGAATTGCCGATTATGATTGTTCAATTGCTCATCGCGTCAATTCCATCAATACCAGACATCGATTGACAACAGATCGCCAGGACCTAGGATACGTCCACCGTGGACTTTATTTTGTGTCCTAGTGTGTTCGGGACTGTACAATGACATTACGGACCTCCGTAGTTAGCAGGAGTTTGCCCGCGTAGGTAATCAGGCTGATTTGCGACCACAGGTATAGTATGAAGCTTCCCCGCAGGTAGGCGGGTATTTTCCACTGCTTCTTACATTAAATTATCCTGTTCCTCCGAGTGACAGCTTCCCGTGCCTTACAGGCTGCTGACCGGGGCCCCGCTCCACGTATTCGGAGAAAGCCTTATCGCGCCCACGGGGCGCAAGGATCTCCTAGGACGGAAGACGAGGTGACCCTTCACCCGGGAATATCGAGGAGTCTTTCAGTCAGGTAGCAGAGTCGCCTGTAGGTAATCAGGAATCACGTGCCTATGTCAGGTAGCGGTGACACATTGATGGAGGCAGCGTGAGTTTCTTGGCGCGATGACAAGTGAAACAATTAACCTGTTTACAGGGAATTCTGGTGCTGATGGCAGCTGCGATGAGAGCTGAGCCGTTTGAATTTGGCGGGCTCCAGCAATGGCGGCTCGGGTCGAGCGGTCGTTCCTTACGTTCACATTGATAATAACTGTACCGTGCTAACGTCCGTTATTGTAAGTTGATATTGTGATCATCGATATAAAAGTTATTAAAATTTCAACAGTTAAAACCTTGATACAGTAGGTATAACTTTGCGCACGCAGTTACGTGTTTCGGTTATCACCCTGTATAGTAATTCAAATCAACGTTATTAGTTATGATTATCTTACAACGCATTCCTAATGATAATAATAATTGCAGGTATTTGGCTCGTTAAAACCGTCATATTTGTACCTTAAGGAAAATAGTCTTTAGAACTATACAAATCGGTATTAAAATATTATGCAAGCGCATACAAGCAATATGGGGTAAACACCATTATAATTTATAGTTGATATAGATATTTGAGTAGATTTATAATCATTCAAACAAGTATTGAAAATTATACTGTAAGTACAGTTTGGTCATGTACACTGAGCGTCATTAATGGTGTCCAGCTTGTGGACGCAGTGCGGTAAGGTAAGAGAGGAGGCTGGGTTGGAATGCGAGTGAGAAGGCAAAGCGTCGCTCGATACGTCCTTTTCGCATAGCATGAGTGTAAACGAGACGGCAATACCATCCCTGAGTCGTACCTGGGAGTTTGGTGGGTCATTAACGCTAGCTAGCTTAGATGACACATAGACTTTTCGATGCGAAACAGATGTGATGGAAATCGAATTTCTAGCAACCTTCATTCTATCGTGCGAACTCTACGAGCAAAGTGATGGCACGACATTGTGTGTTGAAAAGCGTGGACGGATAATTGGTCTGTGGCAACCTGGTGTCCCCATCGCCGATATTGTTCAATCTGTCCAGTGCAATAAAAAATCTGTGCTGCGATGGATTGATAGATACCTTCGAGTCGGAGATCATGCCTTGCACGATCGCCGTGTAGGAAATCTGAAACCGCGGAAGAAAACCGAGGCAGAAGATCGCTATGCTATCGATGCTATCAGCACCGATTCTTTCGAACTTACACCGAACCGTTGGTTAGCAGACAGTTGTCATATCGCCGAAAACACTGTCTTTAAAAAAGAACAATAAATTCCGAGGAACAACATAAACTTTTTTATAGGAAATTTAATTCTCCATCAGAAAGTGTTTAATTATATTTTTTCTTCTCAGTTTTCGCATTGTTTATATTAAAAAAATATAGAATCAGCACGAATGCTGACCGATTGCTGAAGCCCAGGGTAAGTAGCGTTAATTCAAGAAACAGAAAAGAATAGGTGTCCGAACATATACTGTTTATGGCGAGCGGAGAAGTAGACGAATGTGATAACAATGACAAATCAGTTCCTGAAATGAATGATTGCTATAACGACGTTCGAGAACAATCATGAGATACGAGGATAAAAAACAAAAAAAAAGATTTATTTAAAATAATGTACCTAATAAACAAATAGTGAAAAAAAAAAGAAATTGCAAAGTGCGTAATAGTTGATAAGCGTGTGAGCAAGATGAAAGAAGTCAATTTTATTTTGGGAAGCTATTTTTGTATGCATGGAATTTGTGCTCCTTATGTAGTGTTCATGGATTGTCGTATAAACATACTTATTGCAAATGCCATGAAATTACTATTGAAATTTTTTATAAATTCTTCCACTACTTACATACATAAGTTTTAAATACTTAAATATTAAGGGTATCCCAAAAGGAGTAGAATTGAGTAGCACAATAGTGTGAATTAATTGATTTCAGACACAAAGTTTCAGAGTCAAATTTCATGTCAAATCAGAATTATGGAGCTAATCCAGATCTCAAATCTGTAGCATTGCACAGGTTTTGAAGAGAACTGTTTAATGTACTTTTTCAATAGAATTAATAATTTTTAAAAACTTTAATAAACAAAAGGCTATGCCATGTACAGAAGAAAGACATCTAGGTTTACTAAACAAGTATTTCAGAAATTACATAATATAAAGATGATATTAAAAATTCTACGAACGTCTTAAAATACATAAATATGCAATCATTGTAAATATTACAATTTATCTAACAAAAGCAGACATTTAGCAGCAGATTCAAAAAGTTGTTTAAAAACCTCATCAAATTACAATTTCAAGATCTTTCTGGAATATGTTTGTGTTATTACAGTAAGCACTATCGCACATAAAACTTCCATAAGCATGACATAAGGTGTATACCAATCTGCATACATCCATAAATCTTATTGTATTATAGATATACACTCATTGTTTTAAACCTTGCGCTATACTTACAGAAGGTTTGTATGCGATAGTCCTAAGAAAATATCTTAAAACATGGTTTTTACTAAGCCTGAAGTAGAGTTATCAATAAGTGACCTGGATATTTAATTTATTATAATATACAAAGTAATATAACTGTATTTGTTTCATTACTATAGTGAATTGTGTGCTGAATTACATTTACTACTCAGAATTAGAAAATATAATGTGTATCGTTACCTTTATACGGTGTGTACTGTGGATGGGTTTATGTAACAAAACATTAATTTCTGGATGTTCTGTCAATATTGGAGATGACACTTGCATGATTATAAGAAAAAATAAAGGATGCTTTAAACAAAACGTTAATTGAAAAAAACTTCTAATGTGGCTTTGTAAAGAAATATAAACGTTGAAACACTATTTAAAACATGCTTTTAAGGTTAAGACTTATTATCGTGAATATTAAAGTTTTCAACAAATTTTAACGAAGAACCTTGACATATTAAAATTATATTCTTAGAATAAAAATAAATGTATAATAAAAGTTTTTATCGTATACTTTAAAATATGAAAACACGACACTAACATCACTAATTACGTTTACACGACGTTTTATTTCAGTTTATTAACGATCAAACGAACTAACGATAATAGGGAACTGGACCGTGACGGGAATTCAAAAACTGTCTAAGCAATTTGCTAAAATATGATCGTAGAATTCCAGAACGCTGATTAGATAATTTATTTATTATTTAAATATTAAGAAAATCGATATTTAAACTTGTTAAAATATTACTATAAACTGTGGGACAAAAACCTCCTCGTCGCGTCGAAAAATTGTCTCCTTATGTGGAATTTATTTTTGAGCCAAATAACCAATGAGGAATGTCCGTATTCGTGCTTTGCAAATGAGCGACTAGATTGGCGATGATGAATGGTCGGCGCCACAAGAAGTTGTTATCTAACGTTTTCTCACTAATACGCAAGACGGCAGCACCGAATATAAGGTTTTGACGACCATTTTGTCACGTGACTCAACAGGGTGTTTGAACTGCTATATTTGTGCAACACGATTTTTAATATCATTTTTTTAACAAATATAAGCATATTATTTACCTAAGACGTCAATATTTATAGTTTTTATAGTACCACAATTAAGAAAAAAGAAAAAAGATTAGTCCAGTTCCCCATTAAGAAAAACGAAAAAAAATTGGTCAGCTCCCCATTGTTGTGTCAAGATCAACGTAGTAGGAAGACGCACGTGTAAAGACAGTTTTTGACAAAAGGAGTTTTTTAATACTTTACTAAGGATTTTTTAAGGTTTGTGCATTATATTATTTGTAGTAGTTGTTGTTACGTATTATAGAAATTATTATGTTCATGATATTGCATGACTATATTATTCGGTAATTGTACTCATAACATTACGGTTCATGTTGATAGTTACAATTATCGGCATTAATCATTTTCAATCATATTTATGTATTATCAAAGTATATTGAGTACCAGTTTATGTTAGAACGTTTATTGTAAATTTATATGGCTAGTCGATATACTTATGTACTCTTTAATTCGTTGCATATAATCAAATCAACAATGCTGTCTGTCTAACCTATACATTCTAACATTTATAACACTGAGAAATAGTTCTGAATAAATATTTACAATTTGCTTTGCATATAGGCAAGGGAGAGAAATGTTGGAAATTACTTGTAATGACAGACTGGGGAAAAAAGTCAGAGTTAAATGTAATCCCGATGACACCATTGGGGATTTAAAAAAATTGATTGCTGCACAAACTGGCACACACTGGGAAAAAATAGTCTTGAAAAAGTGGTATACCATTTTCAAGGATCACATCAAACTGCAAGATTGTATCCTTTGCTCACAAATAGTTTATAGACCTTGAACATAATTTTAAATATTAATACGCTATATAACTCTTATATTTCCTTAACAATTTGTCATAGATGAAATTCACGATGGTATGAACTTGGAATTATATTATCAATGAAAGAAAAAGTATACCTGATATTAACTTTTTAAATCTTTATTAATTATAATTTAAATTGGTAACTGCTACACTCTGTAAGTTTAAATCTTTAATAATTACACATTGTAAATACAGTGGTCGAATAAAACCAGCATTCGACGACATAAATAATTGATTATTCATAATTCAGTATCCTAATTCCCTAACTTATCTCATGATCAAGCCATTGTTAAATGCGCTATCTGATTTACAAGTTAATTCTGCAATGTTCCAATAGCTTTCAACTATCTCACTCAAAAATAATAATATAGTTATGACTATAATATTCTCTTGTATTTTTGTACACCTTAAACTACATTAATTTTAAATATAACAACAGTTAGAATATCTCTCTTTCTCTGACAAATAAATACAAAAAATCTCAAACTCTTTAGAATTCATGTGCAAACTTAATAGAAAAAAAAACCATGATTCACAGTAAATTGACTTAGATGTGTGTTATATCGACGTACAGAAGTCGACAGAATTAATCTTTAAATTGTCCACGATGTCCTCTGTGCGACGTGTAAAACTTTTAAGAGACGTTAATGGGGCCTCTTGAACAGTCCTTCCCCACGATTAACAGGACTCAGTCCTTCGCCACGATTAACAGGACTCTCAGACTCAACTGTAACCCTACCACGGTTACTAAGGAAATCCCTAATGTGTTGTACTATCAATTCTATGGCCACTGTAACAAAACAAAAAAATTAACAAATGCACAGCTCATAATTATTTGGAAAAAAAAACCAAGCAGGTGTGTCATGCAGGCCTAATGATCCATTACTGCTGAAAAACTTTCCATGGGTTTATTACATTCTTTTTTAATACATTTCCTCATCAGAATATAATAATGCTATTTGGCTGTTCAATTAATTATACTATTATTGACTTAGTCCAAATTTATCTGCAATTGGACAGGCACTGAATAACGGTAGGAACGAGGCAATTTGGTATTCGCTTAAAAGTACATCTTAGGAGTTGAGCTCCATAGCCGTACGTTTTTAGCAGTACTTTTAGTAGTACTTTTCAAATAGAACAATCACAATACATTCGTATCGCTTACAGTGCGCATATCTCAGCTTTATATGTAATTTTCTGTTTTAATCACACATTTATGTAATAGGTATAAGTATTATGCAATGACAGGGCATTCCTTTAGATTATAAATGTTTTCTTGAGGTAAAACAGAAAAAAAACAGTCTGCTCACAGTGTGAATAATAAGTCTTTTGTTAAAAGGCATGTAATTACGTTACGACATATTCAATTACAATCGCTTTAACATGTCCGAGAATTCCGCAGCTACTCCCCCGCTCATGTATTCATTCATTTAATCCACGTATCAAAATCTTAATTGACGAATATACACTATAAAATTAGAGGAAAATCATACTGGAAAAAAAACAATCTCGAGGAATTTACTCGAGTCTACTTCTGAACATCAGTGATTAATAAAAAAAATAGGAGCCACGCGACAGAATGTGTTTTGCGACGTGTATTTTTAATACATGAATGGCACGTCGATTAGGAATCAAACCGTAATACTACCTCCCTCGTTGTTATCGTGGAAAATTACATTAAAATTAGACAGTGCGATCACAGTGTAAAGCGAGAACTAAATAAGTAGTAATGCGAAGAAAAATATAAATAGAGACGCCAGACTAAGATCTACTGAAACCGAGACAACGTGTAATGCAAAGATGATTTTATGGTTACACGGAGTAAAAAGCGGAGTAATGTAATGAAAGAAAAAAAATCATTAGCAAAAAAATAAGAGAACTATGCAGTCTGTTTAAACGCGTTCACGTTATTCTGGACGTGATACGTTAATGATTTTTGAATAATAAAAGGTAGTGTATAATGGTAGCTGGTGTAGAATGTATCATTTTATCGAGGGAGCTTTTTTTATTTGGTTATATCGGTCATCTGCTGAGGGTGTCGGATGAGGCCGAAGTACGCCTACGCTGGAAGATGTATGGATGCTGCCCGGACGCAGTTTCGGCCTTTTTCGAACGCAAAATGTCCCAGATGTGGTGCACTATAAGGTCTATCGCCACTGCGAACATACAAGAACCAAACCATGTATGTCTGTAATACGATTGCCATTGCAATTCGTACCCTAATTTATTCAAAATACAGCGTTCACAGCCCAGCGACAGTCATACCCTTCAACCACCGGGCAGCACCCATAAAAAATAAATAGCCTTTCAGCCCTTAATAAGGTAGAGATAATAGCTGCACGTGTAAAGCTGCCCAAAACTCCATAGATTTCATGTGCCTACACCTGAGAGTCTGGCTCTGTCTATGGTTTATGGATATCTTTTTGCAGTATCTCTTACTTCATACATTGTTTCAGCTTGTTCGATGCTGATTGATATGTTACTTAAATTACAAAATTAGTTTCGACACAACTTTAAGTATTCTTACTGCCTCGACTTGTATTTTTCAAATAAAGCCACATCAGATAAACGGCATACTTAATACAAATGAATTTTAAATAATTTTGATGACGTTATTTCAATTGTCAAAGCTCTCAGGTGCAGTTTGCGCAAGTAGATCGACAAATATTATTGACTTCATGTAACATCGATAAAGTCAGGATATAATTTGCTTCGATCTAGTCCCATGAAATATCGAGTGAGGTAGAATGGTGTAAAAGCAGGAAAGTCGTGGCTTATATGAAGCATAAGAATGATAAAAGATGATAATAAATTAGGTAATTATTGACGCGTTAAATGATGCTCAAGTGACATGGTAGAATTACAATTTTTACAAAAATATATTAATAAATTTGACTAATTACCCGTATTGTCGGCTCCCCTGGGTATTATTACATCAGCAAACTTCTTCGTAGGTAAACAAAATTCTTCAAAGGCTGGCTTCACAAAATTCATATACTGATTCAGCACATAGTCCAAATCCCTTCCTCTTTCTTTGATGTCACGAGGTACTAAAAGATTGTTTACCTCATTACCATCAACTTACTTAATACTAATTAGTACAATTTCTTTAATATTCACCTCTTCTCGCTAGTCGGGTATCCGAGTCAGTATCCACAAACAGTTTCATGTGAAACAAATCTCGAATCTTTGGAAAGTAGAAGACTAGAATCCCTTCGAAAAGGACAACATCCGCAGGATATATCGTGGTGATCTGATCCTTTACTCTGAAAGACAAAAGAATTTCGAATTATTGACAGAAACAGATAATGATTGGATATCGCTTGTGTGTATATACTGTAATTTATACACAAAGTTTCGCAATAATAATATTCTGAAATGAACGGCTGGCAGTGACAGCTTTGTGAATCAGACTACGTGTTTTGCAATATCAAAACAAGATTGCAACCAGCGAAGAATTCGACATAATGCAACATTACATTAACGTGTAGCAGGTGGGCTTATATGCATTAAATCAAAACACGTGCTCCGAGTCGTGAGCGCGTCTACTTTGTTCACGCGATATCAGGATATTTACCAACAAGTTTAAAATTTGCAGAGTTTCACTTTACTCGAAGCACGTGAGCATACGAACTCGCTACTATAAAAAGTCATCCGCTGCCTGTCAAATGTATCACAGCTGCTTACTGCGGTGAATAACAACTGTTTTTTTGACAACTTGTCATCTTTTCGCTAAGACCCAACGACTTTTCGAGTAAAAGTTTATCCAATCAAGAAAATGCAGGGAAAATTTGTGTGTGTCTTTGCTCTCGTCGCCCTCGTCATCATGTCCTTTACGGAAGTTGACGCCTGCAGACGATGTGGATGTGATTCTTGTGGTTGTGGCAGCAGTGGTGGTGGTTCTATTATTGCTCCAATGCCTCAGCTCCTTCCGCAACCATTGAGCTTATCTGTGATCGATGGTGGAAACAGTTGCGGAGGATGTGGATCTTACTATGTGAGTATTAGATTTTGCCAAATATGTTTTATGTATAAATGTTTCACAAATCTTCAGAATTATTTCATTTGTATAACTACATCCTCTGATAAGATTAAAGAAACATTTGTATTAATATTGTGTCCTTTGTTCTGTTTAGGATGGACCATCTTACCTGCCAAGACGTTACTGTGGAGGATGCTTGAGCCGCAAGCTCTATCGTCTCCAGAGTAGCTGCTGCTAATTCATTAACTTTTTTTTGATGCTATTCATTCAATTTATTTATTGATGTATCATACATCTGATATTGCTTGTGTCAATCATATTTAAATAAATCTATTTGTCAAACTGATATATGTACTTCAGTATTCCTTTGAAAAAACCCTGTCTAATATATACATAAGAAATTCACTTACAAACTGTTTGTCCTGTAGTCGTAAGCTGGAATTTCACACTTGATCCCAGCAAGAATATCTTGTAGAGTCTGAAGTATGAGATCATTATCGAACGCATCAGGATGATCAAAATTGAACTGTCCCTTTTCAGCTTTAAGTTTCTCTGCAGGTGTAAGCTCTCTATAAAAACTGTCCTGTGATATGCAGACTACCTGCCGTTCCATGTGGTCCATATCGACTTGTCCCAATTTCTCCATAATACGTTTACAAACTGTAGACTGAAACCAATGAACAATTCTTGACAAAAATTTAACAAAGCCTAATGAAATACTGAACCATACAAGACAAACCAGTCAAAACCAAGAAATGAGTATAGGTTACAGTGATACTTTCCCAATAATAATATTTAAATAATTCATATAGCATCAGCATGGAAAAGAAATTATTACCTTGCCACTAGCGGTACCACCAGATACGCCAATAAGAAAAGGAGTCTTCCCTTCGACGCCGTTGAGTTTCCCATTAAAACCGAAAGACATTTTGCGCGTGATACCCATGTTCATAGACACGTCGGCCATCGTCAAGGAATCCGAGGTATCGTCACTAGAAATAAATCTACCACCGGAGTAACTTGAGAAGAAAGAAACCGCCGGAATAGTACAGTGTGAGTCCTGACTGTTGTTCCTCGAAGATAGGATCGACCGGACTGACAGGATACCGATCTGGCGCGCGCGCACCGACAGATATCGCGCGACCATGTGCAAGATCACGTTCTTATACTATTTTTCCTCGGATTAAAACACAAAAGCCAAAACTCCTAGTAAACTTTTTAATAAAACTCAAAATTTCTTCTAGTACATCACCTTGGATGAAATTGGTTACTACTTTATTAATAGAAAACGTTTCAAGTCAGAACTTGTAAAATTACGAGTCCACTAGCTAACCACGCACGTTGCTTACTGCTATGATCATTACGATCATCATCGCACATGAGTCGAAAGCAATTTATCAATAGTAATTAGGTACTTTGATTGATTCTGTTATTGGCATATTTTTTTATTACGTTCTACGGTTTATATATGCATGACCTAAATTTTAATCAATAGTCTGATGATTTCATAAATTTTCTTAAGAATTTCATCACGTGCTCTACGCGCCAAAGATCAAATACGATTATTCCCGTAATATCATTTTGTCATTTATAAGTATCTGCTTCGTATTAAGATTCTTGATTGCGTTATAAATGATTTACATATAATTATGTTGAATAATGTTGCGACATTCTTTATGACTCTAATGAACGACTTGATCATGTTGTAATTTGAAATACCCTTTGGGACTCATGTCGGGTTTAACGCACCCCAGAATCTAAAGGCAATAAGGAAGTGGACCTGGTTATCGCGTCCATGAATTATTAACCTTTGACATTGAGGATTTCCATGAAATTGAGAAAAAAAAATATAAACATGATAGAGTTGTTGTGACGTTTAAGCACTTACTGATTGCATAATGAATGTCTCTAGATGCTTATTATCCTAAGGAAAATGGTTCTCAACGTACCTGGAATACGTTCAGCCAGCACAATTCCAAGTTATGATGTACGTAAGTTTCATTTTTCTTATTAAGTTATCACTGAATTTTCCGCTTTACGTATTCTTGATAATAGTCTAATTTTAAAGTGTACAAAGTATATCATCATGCGACATTAACTGTTTATGTTATTTATTGTACCCTACGATGACTGCAACTTTTGTAATAAAAGTGATTATGTACTAACTCGGATCTACTAATGTCACAACATGGTCTGTACTTTCAGGAAGCTGTGAAGGCTTTGAATAACTTGCAAAGCAATGCTGCATACTTACAGAATGTCAAAACACACAATTCAGCAACAAATACTAATCTAAAGGACACTAGAAAATATCTGCTACGGTAAGCACAATGGAACAACTAAACTTCTGTAACTGTGATACATAATTATGTCTATTGTCTTTGAAGGTCCGGAATAACTATGGAGGAATTGGATAAATTATCAGTCATTCATGTAGCTGGGACTAAAGGAAAGGGATCTACGTGTGCTTTTATAGAAGCAATTATACGTAAGCATGGTTTTATCACAGGGTTCTACAGTTCTCCACATTTGATCAATGTAAGGGAACGTCTTAGGATTAATGGTCAACCAATGCCTGAAGAGGAATTTACGCAGTCTTTCTGGAAAGTATATGAGTCTCTCGACAAGAAAAAAGAACATGACACAGACATGCCACAGTATTTCAAGTTCCTGACAGTTTTAATGTTTCACGTCTTTCTGGAAGTAAAAGTTGACGTGGCTATCATAGAAGTGGGAATTGGTGGCGAGCATGATTGCACGAATATTGTAAGAAATCCAGTGTGTGTTGGTATAACTAGTTTAGGTCTGGATCACACAATGTTACTAGGAAGCACTTTGGAGTCGATAGCTTTCCAGAAATCAGGAATTTTCAAAGAAAACACCAGAGCATTTACAGTGTCACAACCAAAGGAAGCTATGACTATTTTGGAGAGGCGAGCAAAAGAAAAACATTGTGATCTAAGTATCGTAACCAATTATCAAAGCTATAACTGGAGAAATGGTCCTCCGACACTTAGCATCCAGAGCAAAGTCCAATGGTGTAACGCATCCTTAGCTATTGACCTGTCCAAAACATGGATATCTTGGAAAACGCAGAATCCAAATTTTGGCAACGATAATGGAAATAATACCACTGCTCCAAGTACAGTTACAAATCAACTAAACAATAATACAACTTCCTCAACTGAAGTAACTAGAGACCTTCTCAATGCAAGTGACAGTAGTACACAAAGAAAAATATTAAATATCTCAAACTCAAAATTACAAACAAAACTGAACTCATCTAATTCAGCCAGTGAATCTTCTCTCGAAAAACTTCAATGTTCCTCAACAATATCATTTGAAAAAGTAGCAGAGGCATTATCATCCTGCAAGTGGCCAGGGCGAACACAGATTCTATGTGGCAAGAGTATGGACTTCTACGTAGATGGTGCTCATACGATTGAGAGTATAGAGTTCTGTGTTTCCTGGTTCAAAGATGTTACTCGTAATTCTCCAGAGAGAAGATATTTAATCTTCAACAGTACAGGTGCCCGTGATTCTTTGAAGTTACTTAAACCATTTCGTACCCTGTCCTTTGAGAAGGTCTTCTTCGTACCCAATGTGGCAGGAACAATATCAAAAACTGATCAACAAAATTTCTCAGTGACAACACAAGAGCAGATACGCAGATGTCAGTGGCACTGTGAAATTTGGGGTGACGGTTCAACGTTTGCCAATAGCGTAAGCGAGGCTCTAGAACGCATAAAGAAGGATAGCAGCGAAAATTCTAATTTAACAAATAAACCCCAGGTTCTTATCACAGGATCTCTACATTTGGTGGGTGCTGCGCTAGCTCTGATAGATCCAGATCTCACGATGACGACAAATTATTAAATTGCCTAGTGATTCCGATGCAGGCCTGTTGTTATTAAACGGTGAAGGACTCAGTGAATTATATCTTTTTGTGGAAATAGAACAGTTATATTCTTATAATAATTAATAATAATAATGTAACAATGATCGCATCAATTACTAGCATGCCGTTACGGCAAGTTTCACTGCGATATCGAAACAAGTTGCTGGACACTTGCATTGTTCAATACAGTCGACAATTATTTTGTACTTTTTTACGAACATTTGTTTCGCACTCCGGACTTTTTTATAATAATAATAAATGTTCGATTGATTTACATACTCAAAAAGAAGTTCCGACGACCTCTTGATTTTCCGATTCACTATTTTTACAAGGCTCATCAATGACTCCTCGTGTTAAAATATCTTCGGGTGGTATTCCAGTTCAGATTCTGCTTCAGTATCAGATAGACTTAGAGAAACACCTGCTCTTCTCCGTAGCCGACTATCCTGAGGACTCTGTCAAGTACCAGCATGATGTATAATACAAATTTAATTAATTATCTTGTTTTATAATGTAAGGTAAATACCTGATCCAAAATTCCAGCAGTAGGTTCAGAAGCGTATCCTACTTCCTGTGCGTCTTCCTCTAGATCAGCTTCATACTCTTCTAACTCATCTGAATCCGAGTCCAGGTCCAAATCCACATACCGACTTCCTGTCGAGACTTTGCAGACCATTTGCGCTAAATCCGTAAACGTGTACGCGGCTATAGACTGTTCATTGGCTGCTTGATGCTTGGCACGCATCGCTCTGGCATGTTCCCGGTCGGCATTAAACCTTGGCAGTACTCCAGCCTTAGACTGACCTTCAAAGTAAGTTTTTCCTTGAAAAATAAAAAAAAGAGTCCCATGAGTCAACAACAATCCCATATCAACAACAATCTAACCAGAATTGTATTTTTAATTACCGTGTTGGTAACCGACGTCTTTGATCTCATCGAAATTGGCAAACTGAAGGGTCTTGTACTTGTCTATCGGTGGCCTGATGTACTCACAGTAATCCGAAGACTTAACCTCTTCCAATTGTCGGACGCAGCTAACGTAAGCCAACCTGGTCTGGATATCCGGTAGATTAGGAACCTTGACAGGAGTAGCAAATGGATTCCATCGTTTCCAAAGTAACCACCAACCCGAAAGTGAGTCTCCATAGTTAGTCAAGTCCGTATCATCCTGAGATCCAACGTCGATGGCCAGGATGTGATGGGCTCCTTGCCTGAGCATCTCGTCAGCTTCGAAGAAGATTTAAGAGTATCCGAATAATGTACAAAACGAATAAGCGTACTGTCTCAAGAGCCGCTTTGATTGTTGTTCAGTATAATTATTTTTGAAAAGTGTTTGGATCGCTTAGTAAACAGGGTACCTGGTACATTGTTAACGTAACACCCGTCGACCAAAAGATGTCCATCGAGAGGATCGCATACGGGAGGAAAAACACCCGCAATGGTCATACTGGATCGAATGTATCTCCATAGCAAGCCTGAGCCGAGCAAACTAAACCGTTCAGAATCTCCAGGGTGCATCTTTTAGCCACGGGAGCGAGCTTCGACGTGAAGTTTAAGATCAGGGTGGCGCGAGAGAACATTATCATAGTATCTTTACGCACATAGAACTAGCCATTTGCAATCTGACATTGTAACTTAATCGATACTGTACATTTATACGCGTATTGCGCGACTTATTAAAGCGTACAAAGTACCTTGACCAGGTCTTTGTGCGTTTTAAATTACCTGGAAGGTTATTGACGTACCCGCCGTCCAGGAGGAGGTGGCCATCGATTGGGTCGCACATTGGGGGCATATAACCAGACAATGACATCGAACCACGAATGTACCGCCACAGCGATCCTAAACACGACGAATTACATATTTTAGCACTGCTCATTGTCCTTTGCTTTCCCTTTTTTTTTAAAATATGCACATATCTCAATCTTAAGCAGATCATTCAATCTCACAGTTATCAAAATTTTCCTAGCTATGCGCGACAATAATTCAACAATAATGCCTGATTGATATCCTTGATTAATACGTCAAGATAAAGTGGATGGGACACAAAATTTTGTATACAGGATGATCCTAGCCTAAGTTCCTCAGGTCCAGAGCATGAAAAAGGAGCGAAACCTTGCTTTGCCAATTATCCAATAAATTCGAACAAGCGACATATACAGATATAATACGTAAAACGGAGAGTACGTCAACAACGATTATTCACAAAGCTCGCCCCCCGTGGCTATTCAAAAGCATACTACAAAAGCAAGGGTATTATTAGAGGAACACAAGGGGGTAATAAGAAAATAAATGTGAGAAAGAAAATTTGGATAAGCGCACGTGTGTACATGGAAAGCGGCCACAAGGAGCTTCGATTAGCTCTTCAGTCGTGGACACTTGCCGTACCTAAGCTACGCTCTAGCGGAAAGCAGTCTTTAATTAAAGATGTATTCCGCCTATTCAAAAAAAAAAGAACTACCTGCATTAATAGACTGGCATACAGACCGTGTGTGTGCGTGCGCATCGAAGACGCGGTGATGTCTGTCGTTATGGTGAAGTACGGAAGCCAGAGATCTTCTATGTAGGTGTCCCCGAAGGTAGCCTGTATAGTTTTATTAAAATCCCTTCCAGAGAACATCGACGTCATGGGATAAGTCAGGTCAAGCATTTGTCGCCACCATTGAGTCATTTTCTGAGCGAGATCGATATTGTTATATAAACAATTATAGATTATTCAATAAATTTATTATATAATTATAGAATACCTTTGACCATTCACGAGCTTTTTGCGTGGTTGTAGTAATATTTTTTTCCATGCACCAGAGTGCGCCCATGAAGGCCCCGATGCTGACACCGCCGACCATGTCAATAGGGATGCCTGCTTCTAGGATAGCTTTGAGCATTCCAATGTGAGCTGCTCCACGTGCACCACCACCTCCTAGAACTAAGCCGACGGAGGTGCCTGTGAGCCAGCGAGCTAATCGGCTGAAGTCACTATGCACATTGGGCTCTGACATTAAGACCTTTGAATATAGTTCGTTCTGAAAAATTAAACGAGTGTTAGAAAGCATGTGAGATGGAACTATTGTGTGGTTTAATAATAGTAACTTACAATGCGGTATTGAGATCTTCTAGTGAACATCCGCTTGGGACACTGTATATGATGATGACTAGAAACCCAAGATCTCATGTTCAGCCATTGGACGGTATTCGATGGGCGCTGACCACTCTGTTCTCTGTGTAGTAAAACTAATTCCTTCTGTGTACGCATAGCTAAACGTTCAACCTCACGTTCAATGCGACCCAGACTTGGTGGACATTCTCCTAAACCTACGATGAGAATACAGTCCGCCTGACGAACACATCTCTGCGTCCAGAGGGTATAACTGGAGTCGCTTTGATACAGGGATATTCGATGCTGATCCTCTTGCTGTGCCAACCATGAGGTTAGTCTGTACTCGTTAGCTGGCTCCATTATAGAAGTGCCCAGGGTCTGAATTTATTAAAAATATTTATTACTTAGGTATTCGAATTATATTTTAGAATTGACTTACTTTGCGGACGACATCCGACGTTAATCTTAGACATGGACCGATAGTACATAGTGAATGATACAGTTCATAAGTGAATGCGGTCAGAGGAACATCCTCTGAGATTGGTACGATGGCTACTGTTGAGAAATTTACTTGGGATGGACGAGCATCGACAGTAGCTGCTTGTCGTCTAGAGAATGAGAGTCTTCGTAAGATAAATATTTAAAGAATTTTTAATTTATGGTTATGGTGTTACGTACTGTGTGTCACTGGTGCCATTTTTAGCTTGCCAGGATCCCAGTATACGATGTCCGAGTAGATTAATCAGTCTGGTGACTACAATAGGATATCTAAGCTTGATAACGTTGAAGAGACCTTCTGGTAACTTGGCTAATTCGGAATCACGAACAGCCATGACCGTTGTGGATCTTGGTGTCTGGGTGACCATTTCTACTATGCCCACCAGGTCTCCTTTACCATATTCAGCCACCAGTTCTTTCTTGCCGTTCTTGTAGGTAATCACGGATCTCAAACGGCCACTTAGGACTACGAACGTAGAGTCGGACTCGTCGCCTTGGCGATAAACTGCTCTGCCACTTTCGAGGAAGAGCCAGTCGAGCGCGAAGTCCACCTATTGCACAAGAATAAGGAATGGAAATTAGTACTCAAGGAGTTGTACTGGGAGGAGGTTCAGGGTGTACCTGTCTGACAAATGGACTGAGTCTTCGCACTACGGTGTTGGCTACGTGGAGAACAACGTTGGGTTTTTCTCGCATGATGGCGAAGGATGTTGATTTTGATAACAAGGCTATCCGACTCGCATGTTTTGCGCGTATGGTATAGAAGGATGGTTCACCAGTTAACACTGCGAGACCACCTACTATTTCACCCTGATGCGCTGTGAACATGTGGACTTCCTGACCAGCATCTCGACCTTCTGCAACGCGTTGACTCACTAGCAAGCATCCGGATAGAACGTAGACCAGGGCTACGTCCTGTAAAATATAACTTGTTACACCAGTGCTCATAAGTAGCTACCAGTCTTTACATAGTCTTGAAGATGATTCCGACCTTGTGTGACTCCTCCTTCATAAGATAAGTACCGGCGGGCACTTCCCGGATTTGGACTTTCCCATCCTTAAGAACCGAATCATCTTCTAAGCCAAATTCCTTTACGAATGCATCTGTGGCAATTTGCACCAGCTGTGCCTCGTCCAGCTGTTGTTGAGGACCCTCGTGCGTCGACCGTTTCCTAGAGTAACTAGATCCCGAATACATAATATCTGGTGCACCACCTTGAAGAGATCCTTGCTGGTAGTTTGTTCCGGAGGAACCGGACCAGTGAGAATCGCATTCTGGTACCATGTCCGGAGTGATTTGGCTGGGTTGTGGACTCGAACTTTGACCCTTCCAGTCAAGATTGTTCTTCGACCTATTAAGAGGCGGTGCAATTAAACCATGACGTCTACTTCTATTGCAAGTCAATACGTACTTGCGATTTACCAGGATGGGAACTGGCTGTGAGCCGATGATGTTCGACGAGTCTCTGTGGAACATCTCACTGCCTTCGTGTTCATTTCCGGTATACATACTGGATACATTATCCGCGTTGTGTCCGGGAAAACTCTCCCGGGTCCTCGAGCGCACAGGTGACCCGGAAAATGGACTCTGTTTCTTTTTATGTGAACCCTGGTTGACTAACTCTGCCGAAAGACCGAGGTAGTGGTGCAAGGCTGTGAATGTCACGCGTTGTAGGCGAACCATAATGACCTGGATAACTCGAATGAATGCGTCTGGATGATCTTGGAAGACCTAAAGTATTGAACAAATTTATCAAGATCCTGGCAACCTTATGATTGAACCTATTTTATAATTGGGAACTATGTATACCTCTTGAAATGCGTGCATTGGCAATTTGACTACAACAGAATCTTCCACTGCTCTGGCAGACACAGTCTTGTAGGTGCTAGTATGGCCGGTAAGTACGTCAGTAAAACTTAAGAGACTGGTAACTGACTCTCCTGTCTTCACCAATTTCAATGAGATCTGAGAGCCATCCGATCCTGTGATGAATACATTTACCAAACCTTGCTGTACTATAAAAACATTCTCATCGGGATCTCCAATTTTAAATAGACTGCTTCCAGCTGCTAAGTTCATGATTTCAGTGTGTTTGCAAAGTTTGAGGAAGACAGGCTTTTCAAAATGACCAAACACTCTTATGCTCTGGAGCATGTAGAGTGCGTCTGGCGGAACTCTTTCTCCAGGTCCTAAATCTTCCTCAAGGTACTCAGCTGGTGGTTCCAATACCTTGAAATATAATATGATAAAGTAAAGCATGACAAAAGTGGAATAATTTGTCAGTATGTAGTTTAAAAATGTGAATTAGAATGCCACCTTAAGCTGTTGCGGCACAGTATCCTTCTTCAGTTGCAAAAGCCTTCTAGCAAATCGCATAACAGCTCGACGCTTTTTTCCTTGGCCCGTTGGATGTACCTGGCCACTTATTGACTTGACTTTTCGCAACATCTTCCTGCCGTAGAAGAGAACTTTGTCTCTCTTCCTGAATCTTGGCTTGCCAGTGCCAACACCCACAAACTGCTTGACCTCGGGTAGAAATTCTTTGTTCTTCCATTTTCTTAATATAATTATTAATCCTACCAGAATTATAAATAACGAACAACCAGCAACAACGAATAAGGTAGCTGATGTTTGATATTTTTCGATAAATTGACCTATCAATCTTGAGAAAGTATATGTTCCCAGGCTCTCATTAAACTTATTAAACAGGTCAACAACCTGTAATCAAAAAGACATTTATGATGGATTGAATAATCTCATATATTCAAAATAATTGTCAGATTCAATTACAGGCCTTGGAATCTAATTATAACAAAAGAAAATTTGACTGAAAAGCAATATAAGAAACAGGACTTATCCTGTTACGCATAATCTTATGCAAAAGGGGGAATTTCATTAATAACATTAAAACAAAACACATATAGATCTTTATGTAACCATTAATAATGTAATATGATATCCTTAAGAAAAAATCGATCTGAAAGAAAAATAAATATTTATTGAGTAGATATTACAACCTCCATCATGAGCGTTCATCTCTCCTTGGAAATTGTCTTTGTGTCAACGAAGATTCTCGAACGAAACACGTTCCGATTATATAAAGAAAGCTCTGTTCTTCGAATCTAATTGACAGAGCAAAATTATTAATGCGTATATAAGTGCGAAAAAAAAGGAACAGAAAAATCGACCTTTGACACTTCACTCGAGTCACCCAGCGCCATTTTAAATGCACCCTTGCATTTTAAGAACAACTTTTTGGTAATAATAGATAATCGATTAACTTCAACTAATCAAAAATACTGCGCAATGTTACGCTAGCAAGCGTTGTAGGACTATTACCACTAAGTTCATTATGGAACAAAGTCATTCATTCCTTTCACCGTCTAGCAGATGACGAGCTACCTCGACTTTAGAAAATGTCTTCCTGACGTCTGCTACCTATAATAAAATCAGCTGTTCGACACCGGGAAATTTGTTTTCCAATAAAATATTTCAAATAAAATAATCAATCCTATAATAAATGCAATGTTAAACCCTTTTTCATGGACAAACTTATCCCAATGTAGTATTCCACATTATATTTACATTAGCTATCAAATACTATGCAACAAAATATCTTTTAATATGAAAAAAAATCAATGCATTAATTTCTGCGTAAGAACTGCTACAAGATACAACATTAGATGCTAAATATATAAGAAAAAGCATTTAAAAACCCGTTAAATAAATTTATATAAAAACTCGATCGTTAAAGCAGATCCAAACATAAAAACCATGTCTCAGTTATACCATCTACAATACGTTTAATTAATTATCAAAAAAAGATCACTCTCCCTCTACATTACACAGTTCGCGCAATGGCCGCAAGAAGTCGCCACTCGCGAATTCCGGGCGGTTTTCAACAGACAGTCGGGTCCGGCCAGCCAGTGGTTACGGGCGGACATGTTGAAGGTGTTTCCGTGAATGTGCGCGGCGATCTGACGCGTGATTTTCATGCGTTTTCGTGCCGTGAGTCCACAGCAGGACGTGTGAAACGATAGTCTCGCTACATGTGAAGTGTTGTGTAAAATTAAAGGCGCCTGGATATTCCCGGCCGGAATCATGAGCTGGGGCACCGAGCTCTGGGTAAGTCCTCGATACGATATTCCTTAACGTGCAAACCCCAATACGTTACCCATTCCAGCCCGTTTTCGCCGATACATGTACCTACGCTGTGTTCCAAAACCAGTTCGCGGGACCGCTTGACCAGGAGTTTTGCCTTTTCGGTTGCTAGCCGCAGGCAATTCTCGTCTGTTCGCGTGTCTCCTTTCTATCTTCTTCTCGCGCTCTCTGTCTGTCTTTTTCTCTCTCTCTCTCTTCTGTGTCTCCTCCTGCTCCGATTCCCACACCCCGTCATTTCTCCTGGAGCACCGTCCCTCTGCAAACTCCACAGTACTCCTCCCTTACGTTCCTTAGGTTCCTCATAGACCTCTTGCCTATTAGCATCACTCAGATTATGGATTTAATATGAAAATCGCATCCCACGTTATTCCGGAGTGTCGTATTTTCTGGAATGACTGTCACCGGTCGACTTTCATCGAACGGGATAACCCTGTGGGCACTTTTACAAGTAGGACAGCTGCTTGTGTCCGTTTCGCATTGCTTGTGAAGGAGTTTCCGGTAACAGAGTGTCGTACGCATCCGGCGTCGAGGAATAAAAGAGAAATTATATGAAGAAAGAAGAAGACGGTCCTCGGAGAATGACCTGGCTGCAATAAGAGACAGGTTCTTGGTACCTTTCAACGAAGCTTTGTCATACCTAGACATTTTGAGGAGACAATCCTTAATAATTGTAAATTATATTCTCAGAGAGGAGTCTCCAGTTTCTTCCGAGGAGTCAGTAGAGACACTAGTGATCAAAGAGACACATAGGTCTCTGTCTACCTACAACAAACTCGTACTATGGTGAAGATAGTCCTCGGTGTAACACATAAAGAATTCTTAAGGAAATGCACGGTCTTAACTATACCACAAGGATGCGGAATACCAGAGACAAATCAGCCGTATCCTGATATCCTCGATAACGGTTCCATCTGGAATTCCTGATGTGAAGAATCGACGTGTAGACACCAGCGTTGTTAATTCGCGCGTGAACGCCTTAGATTCCTCGTGTTCAGAGTGTCAGTCGAAGAGCCGCCTTCTCTATAAATAATTCATTCGGCGCATAGCGCGCATTATTATTTAGGCCCTCAGAACTCGTGTTTATCGTTCGGCACGTATCTCTTTCTCTCTCTCTCCCTGTCTCTCTCGTAGCTAGGGGGATGAATGAATGTGGGAAAGGTCAACGAGTCCCACGAATATATACTGACTGCTATAAAGCTATACGTATAGAGTTTGCCAAAAGCTAATATACCAGACCGACACGTTTCGCCTGCCAATCTCCAAAACGGATGTCGCATACCAGGGCCTGTCCTGTTACCTTCGAGAATAAAATGATGAGCAATTCTTGCTCGTCTCCTCTTCTCGTTATTTTGGCTCCCTGCGTCCTTGCGTCCAATTACCCATTGACATTCGTTCATACTCCGAACATGAATCACGACACAGGACGCGATTGCATTTAACCGCTATCGGTCACTCCGCATAGGCACACGTATCGCCTTGCCACGTATACGGGGTGTCTCATAAAGAAAAAGAAAAGAGATACGGACAGAGATACCGCGAAATCGTTGCAATCAATTTACGTCGCGATCTCGAATTTCCTTCTGGTTAATTTTGCGGTTCCATTTTCAACGTAGCATCTCCACGCTCGCGGAAAAAAATTTCCTGCGCAGGTGTAACAAGCTGAATTCTCGTCGTTGACCTTTTCGTTGGGACGAACCGTTTTTGGGCAGCCATAACAGATTCCGAGGGAATGACCCAACGAGTCTGAGGCGGAACAAAAAAAAAAGGAAGAAAAGTGGAAACGAAAGATATACATGGCGGGACACTAAGGAGAGGCAAACCTTTACTTCGAAACTTTCTCCGTGTCGGGCGCCGACTTACATTTATTCCACGCGCATACGTGAAACAAAATCGGAAATCACTTTCTATGGTGCGGCGCACCAGTACGATTTCCCAATGGACGCCATTATTTCGAATTACCATTTAGGCAGAGACGTGGATATATACCGGATATCATGTCCAGTCATATTTCTCATTGAGTCGCAACGCTGATTTCATGCATTCCTCTGCTATGTATCAGACGGACCCTTGGCCTTGGTACGTTTAAAGATTTCTTATAAAATTCGCAGACTGAATTTAGCCGAAAGAAAAAATAATCCAGCTGGTCCCGCTGACGTTGGCTGTTGCGTCACCAGGCTCAATATTCATATTGATAAACTCTGCGTACCAGATAAAACTCCATTATTCATCAACGGCTACGCGAAGAGGCCAATTTAATTTTCAGTACTTCACGTATCCAATAACGCTCGTGATAATCTTTCCTTCTACGTGAGTTCGTCGAGTCTTTTGCGCAGCTTCTACAAAGCGTTCTAACGATAATTTTGTAACCTGACTTGGATCAGTGATTAAGTATCTTATCGACTGTCTCCCATCAGTCACCTAAAGCCTGTACTGCTTATCACTCTGCTGCTATCTGAATCCCACGAAGAAGCAACGTCTCGGTATGTACCTAGTCCATGTCTTACCCATGTGTACCTGCTCTTACTTCCTTCGTTTCTCTGAATCTTAAATACTTCCGGCAGGATCCCACCTTCTGTCTACCAAGGAGCACGGCATGAGCATGCGTGAATGGACTCATGATTTTGATGCTGCCAGGTCCACCGTCACTCAGGTTGCATACCAGAGTTCCTAGTGACACGTGTCCACCTTAACCTGAGATAATACTCTTGAAGCCAGGAAGAGAAAGAGAGAGACCGGTTGTAACGCTGTTAACGCCCTTCCTGATGAATATGGTTCTGATACCGAGGTCAGCACTTGAATCTGACCTCATTCATTTTTTGTGCATCTTATATAAGAGGAAGTCGAGTTCTTCATCCACGTATTTGAGGAGCTGCCGAATACGATGGAAAATCTCATGATCAAGATGACAGTCCTGTTTGGTTGTCTGGGATCAATAATATTTTTCTACCTGATAGTATTTTTTTGCTTCATCTTGTCTCTTCTGGGTCTGAAAATCGTTCACCTGCTATTTCTAGATCTTCCTCTTCTACGGTCTTCGCCTTGAATTCTTTCAAGTCAATTCGACCAGAGTGAAGCTGCTGATAAATTCTTCCTTGAGCTCTCCTGGGGGAGCACAGTCTCACCTGAGAGTCTCTTTAACGACGAGAGGAACCCTTTGTGCGTAGGTGGTTTGAAAAATATTTTTGTTTCTCAGGGTGTATACCTATACACAATGGCGAACCCGCATATGTGACAGGGTATCACGTGCGAACCTGCCCCACCCACGTCTCATGCCAAAACTCTATAAATACATGAGAAAGAGACGTCAGAGGAAAAAAAAAGGAGAGACATTGAGAAAGAAAAGAAGGAACGAAACGAAATTTTGTTTACCACAGAAGGAAAGACGAGTTTTCGTGGATGCTGGAAAAATTCTTCTGATCTTTGTCTCGTATGTTCTTTTTTTTTTTTTGGTTTCTTCATATTCTCAAATTCATTAATCTACCATGACCTCGCGAATTGCCATAGATGCTGCTCGCTGGGAATTACGCGTACAGGCGGCCAGAACACACCGACCCTGACTAAACTGAAGGAAAGCTGGCTGTAAATATTATGAAAGCGCGGAGGAACAATTCCCAGCTACCCACAGTAATTCGCGTTACGCTTCTGTCTGCGTAACTCTCTCGTGCACATAGACGAGTTTGCAAATTATTGACCCGAGTCCTCGCGAGTCGGCTAAATAATTATGGGTACCGCTCACTGGCGCACATACGTTTGCTCGCGATGGCACCAGCAATGATTCCCATCTATCTTCAGGTTACGTAACGCTGGAGTTTTTCTGTAAAAGAGCTTTAAAGTTACATAAATTTGACAGCTGTACAAACAATTGACAAGGTGTACGACGAGGCTGTACGCAGTGCTGTATACCTTGTAGAGGAAATCAGAGTAACTCTCGAGGATCTCATATTGGTTTAGGTACATTTTATCTGGGACCTTGCGATAGCAAGGACCGATAATTTTTGTCCTTGGTTCTTTGTTTACTGCTTCTTCGTTTTTCCCTTAAGAATTTACTTTTAGCTGAGTGATATTACTTTTTCGTTAGACCGATGACAAATCTTTTCCCGGATGAGTCACTTGGTGCCTTTAACGAATTATACCGGATGAATCATTCCTCTGGGTCGCTTAAGGTTACCGGAGCCCATTGATAACCGGGAGAGTTTCAATACAATGAGATAGCGATAAATTGCTATAGTTTTGTTTCTCTTAATCGGAGCATCGTGCGAAAGTGCTTTCTCACAATGGAATCTTCCAAGAAAACTTCATTGAAATTCTTCGCCGATACTCCGCGTACGTCGGATCGGTGTCGTTGCTCTGACGTTATCGTTAGTTTATCAGCGCGATTAGAGAAGAAAAAATATATATATATATGACCGATCCTAATTAGTATATAAATTTGTTTGACGCTGATAATATTCCATGCGAGCATAGGAATTCCTTTTGTAGGTTGTTTTTCTTCTTTTTACTGAAAAATTACATTCCTTCACATTACTTATCTTGCCGCTTGTTTTGCTTAAGTCTTTTCAGTGCTGGGTAGACTCTGATAATCATATGTGAACTATACCGCTGCTTAACGTAAAAGACAACGTCCGAGGTATCCCGGACCTGGGTCAACATTCCGTGAAGGATTCACACGCTGACGTCCTATTCACCTTTAGAGACAGCACTGGCTGTTAACAGGATTACCTGATTCACCTCGAATTCACGCTTAGCTCATTCCCATGGCAAAGTGGATGAACTGGTAGTGAGCGACGGGTACGTCTGGGCACGGTGACTCCTGGTGCGTTACGTTCATAGGAATGGGACTTGGACAAGAATGCCAGGTGGCTGAGAAGGCGTGGCAAGGGCAGGGCCTTTTCAAAAACCAGATTGCGTCCCTGAAATTCCAATTTTTATCTTTAGCATCTTCTTATCCTAAATGACTCTAACCTTCTCGTCGTTGTGTGAACTTTAAGCTCCATGCCTATTGTATGTACAGTAGTGTATATATATGCTGATTTTTCCTACAAAACCGGTCGGTTAGGTATACATAGTTTTCTTTGACGAGTTTCCTAAGTCCCTGCAAAGTGTAAACCTTTGTTTCTTCTTATCCGCTTTGATTTGTACTCGAGATTTCCTTTGCGGAAGACTTAATGGACACTCGTAGCCCGTAGTGTTGCTCCAGGAGTAGACTAGGTGCGTGAGTACAGAGAAATGTAGGAAATCGATAGAGAAGGAGGGTGGAAACACCCCAACTCGATTACATGACTCATAATACACACTTGTTCGAGTATCTCACCCTCTTTTCACTCCTCGTGTCTCCGGGTTCTTCTGTTTTATTTCGGTTGATCCTGTACTCTTTTATTTTTTTTTTTTACCTAGTCAGCATCGATCCAACCTTGATGCTCGACCTTCGTTCTGGTGGTGCCATGATAAGGTAGTACCGGATTCAAACTGAATCTTCAATAAAAATAAGCTTTTCAATTGTATGGGAGTACTGGAGCAAGATGATCTAATTCAGATCTTATTTTATAATTTAGTTAAAAAAATTCCTGAGCGTTCAGTCAACGAACACATTTTTCAGATTTCAAATACCTGCTGGATATTAGAATGAGTTGATGTTGTGTATTTCTAAAAAGGAACTCCAAGGGTGAGTCATATGGCTTAGTCCACGTCCTTACGTGGTGCATATACATATATGTGTCGCCGGTACGTTTCCTGCGTATCGACCTTTAAAGGGAGTTCGAATGGAAAAACAACCATCCTCCTGAAACATAGATATGCGGGCCCTGCTATGTGTATTCGCGACTCTGTCGATACTTTTCAGAGGTTCTCAATCACTTGCGTGTTATTGTAATTGCAAGTTTACCTTGCATCCACGTCATAGAAGATTGCAGCATCCAGCTGCACGTTCCACGACTGTGGATAGACGTTAATGAGTAGGATCGGCAGACATATCCGTAGGAATGGAACGTATGGGCGACAGCGTGAATGGAAATTAGTGGCCCTTGAGTAGGTATTTGCTGGAAATGAAAGTAACGTGTCTCGAATGCCATGAGTGAGCCAATAGAAACGTGTTCTCTCTTTCTATCTCTGTTGTCTGTCTCCCTCTCTCTCTCTCTCTTTTTCTCATACTCACCCTCTCTAATGGCAATATCTCGACATGCAACCTGATTTACTCTTGTACTATACAGCACCATATAAGTTTGTTACAGGTCTGTCTTATCAACCGAAGTTTTACCTGTAAAATAATATATATCGACCGAGTTTTTCCACTTGATGCGTCGGTACAGTAGAAAGACGAGTTACTTTTTTAGACGCGTTTTACTGGTCAATCGATTTAGTCTTTTCAGAATGTCAGAAGCGAAGTCAATCATATTTTATCTTTGCACTAGATGCAACCTCGTACTCGTCCTTCAGTGATAAGACCGTCATTATTTACCGAGTTTGTAGTATTCAGCAACGCGTATCTCCTCGAGGATGAGTACTTGCTGCAGTAATAAGGGAAACTCACACCTAGAGTCTGTACCCTGGAGACGAGTAACCCACGTCAAGCGGAGCTTGCATTAAGATTGGATAAGCCAGTGAGTCTCATAGTGGTGGGTCCTTATGATGAGTAACTGTGAAGGAAAAAATGGCGACGTTACGAAGTCTTGGAGAATTAAAATTCTCATAGGAATATTTATAGGTTTCATAACCTATTCTTTCAGTATTCTACTCACGTTTGCAGAGGACATAACCACTTGGTCACCCGGACCAATTCAAAACGAGACTCCGGAGGATATTTAAATTTCAATAGACATGTGTATACGTATAGATACGTGCTGTTTCGTTTGTCTCGTGGCTTGACTAACGTCTTTTTATCTCTGTCAAGGTCGAAAAGGACGGTTGGGAATCTTCGAGCGTCTTCTACCGACAGTGAGGATAGGAACGACATAATCGTAGAAGACAAAGAGACAAACTTCGCTCTACCTTATCTCTCGACATCTTGCGGCAACTACTAACTGCAGTTTCACTTTTCGTGGCAGCTCGCTAATCGGTCAGAGCAAGCTAGAACGTTCGCGCGTTGCGTATTCACCGGTGAAATTAACTTTTGTATGTCACACTTCGTGCGGTTCGTGTCTAGCGGTGGATCTTGTCTCAGTCGATGGCCTTGTTACATCCAGATAGAAAATTGTAGGTTATGTACGTTAAGAGGGGACGTCAACGACCTGATTGACGGGACATTAGAAACAGGTAGAAATAACTTAACAAAAGTGTCAAGCGATGTTGTTACTTTATCTGTGCGGTTTATGTGCAGCAAAATACTCGGTCACGAGGAATTTCCTGTTTATTGGAGCTCAATTAACGCGATTCCCGTTAGCGAAAATAGTCAAGATCCAAACCTATCATGTCCCCCGGTCGTGTAATAATACATTGCGCAGATAGACGACGTTGCTAATAGAAAAATTCATTCTCGTGTACCAAAGAGAGCAGGAAACAATGGAAGCTCCTCTTCCCGTGTCGCCGATAACTACTCCGGAACATAGTCCTGAAGGGACGTTAACCATTATCAGCCGTTGAACTTTTATAGCCTGCAGGCCCGCCTCTACACTTTCTCGTGTAGCGTGTCCAGAGGCATTAGTACGTCATCCAAGCCAGACGCCATATTTGGAACGATCCGGTTTTAACGATGTTTCGAGTCTTGCGAACTACGACGCTATACGAAATGCCATCGCTTCCAGTAATCCACGTGTGCCGTATACGTGTCCCCTGCATTTATTCTCTCGTTCGATTTATTTCTTTATTCCTTTTCTTCTTTTCTCAAACTCCTTTTTTTCTTTTATTCCTCAGTACCCTCGTTCTCTCTTCCTTTCTTTCTCGCGCACGGTACGCTTTGTATTTTTAATTCATACAATCTGTATCGCTTTCAGGACCAGTTTGACAATCTGTCCCTGCACACACAGAAGGGTATCGAATTTCTAGAGAGGTACGGCCACTTCATTCGTGACCGATGTGCCATCGAAGTGGAATATGCCACAAAACTCAGGTGAGTACAGGATAAGATGAAAGAACTTTATGGCATATACGTATACATGCAATGGCGGGCTTTTCAAACGTCAAGGGCGCCGTACCTTTTTCCATTTGGCCATTTCTCGGCGTATCCGTCACTATGTGCTACCGTATATGCATAATACGAGATCTACATAGAGTATGCAATTCACTATAGTATAATATACTACAATATATGTATACAAGCGTCTTTCCAAGTTTCTATGAATCGGTACGTGGAGTAATGTCTTACGAGAATGTATCTCATGCACCCTATGGAGTTCAGGGACACCAGCTCCTGGTAATATTGCATTAAAGGCCCCCTTGTTTGTTCGGTGAATGCCGTCCACTGTACTTTGTGTATGTTATGTATATATATATTATTATTGTACAGAGTGTCGCAAAAGCTGTCTTAGAGAATTTTTATACTGTATGGCATTGGAGTATCGCGTCATCGCGCTGCAAAGATTTTCCTGTCGATCAAACGATATTAGGATGTTACACCGATCAATCTTAAGTTTTAACGAGACTCTTAACAGTTGCGCGTCTCTGGGATTCCGGGCACGTTCATCCTTACTACATATAAATTATTCGTGACACAACGTGAATCTTAATTAGTTGACGTTCTTCGCTGCTGACTTATTATCGCCGTGACTCTATGTGAAACTTATGTCTTACTACGAATATTTGACTTCTGCGATTGTCAAATCTGTTTTATAGCCTTGACTGCGTCTGTCGGGTTCCACCTGCTATGCATTTTGTCAAAGTGAACGCCGGGGACGAAATAGGATGCTGGTGGTTTAATTAGGAAGGACATAGTTTGTGTTAATTTAATGATTTTTATTGAGTTGATTGGGTCGTGGATTAATTAGAATTTTTTTTACTTGTTTCAGGCGGCTTGTCAAGAGTTATCAGCCGAAGAAGAAGGAGGAGGAGGATTATCAGTGAGTAAAATGGATTGCAGTGGAGAGCAAGTGTTTGTTTGAAATATCCTTAGGACCTCGTTACTCAAAATCGTCTTGGTATTGTCCAGGAGCAAAAAAAGGAAAATTGACTGGCTGGTTTATTTGCGCAGGCAAACCTCGAGCCGGGTCTCGATACAAAACAGAAGGCTCTCGTCTTATCAATGGCGTGTAGGAGGCATCCTAAGTTCAATAACACTTAGAAATAGCATGAGAATTGGGTTATTTAGAAGATGATTCTATTTTCGTGTTGATGATACAGGACGATGGATGGTTCGGGATATAGTTTGCTGAAGCTGAAATAAAAACTTTGACTCCTGGTATCTGTACTCATTGCTTTTGTATTCACGTGTTAAAGGTACAGTCACTGTCGGGCTTTCAAGCTGGAATTAAACGAGGTCAATGATCAAGCTGGTCAAAGGGAGATCATCGCAGAGAATCTCCAGGGTAACGTACTCAGAGAGCTTAATATCCTCGTCAAGGATTTCAAGGAGGATCGCAAGAAGCATCTTCAGGAAGGCGCCAGACTCATGGCTAACCTTGTGGGTCAAATTGGGAATCTGGAAAGAGCACGCAAGGCCTACGAGAAGGCTTTCAGGGAAGCGGAAAGGGCGCTTGAGAATTATCAGAGAGCGGATGCCGATTTGAATCTCTCAAGAGCAGAGGTTTGTGATTTTCTAATGAAACGTATTTCTTATTCCATCGGAATCTTTCATCTCCTATGAATGGTCTTCGTGTAGTAAGGCAATCTTTGGATTTTAGGTCGAGAAGCAGAGAATGAATATGACTGTGAAAACACAACAGAGTGAAGAGGCCAAAACCGAATACGCAAATCAGCTACAGAAGACAAACGAGATGCAGACGTTGCACTATCACACGGCTATGCCTGAAGTCTTTCAGCATTTGCAGGTAACGGTTTTAGTTTTATACTGAGTCGTGTATGTACTGCATACCCTTCTTTTTTGTATATTCTTACCTTTTATCTATTTTTACCTCTCTTCTTGTCTCTCATTAAATCGTGGAAATTACTCCCCGCAGGAATTGGACGAGAAAAGAATAAAGAACATGCGAAATTACATGATGAAGTCAGTGGAAATTGAACGGGCCGTCGCTCCCATTATTGCTCAGTGTCTCGAAGGCATTGAAAAGGCGGCAGATGAGATTAACGAAAAGGAAGATACGCGTCTTGTTATCGAACGTTACAAGAGCGGCTTTCAGCCTCCGGGTGACTTCCCCTTCGAGGACCTCTCCGTCGCGAAGTCTTACGACAGTAATAGTCAACTGTCGCAACCTGTGATGCAGCCAATACATAATCATCTTACCGTGAAAGGCACAGTTTCCGGTGGCAAAATGAAAAAAAGGGTCGGCATCTTTGGAATTTTCAGCAGTAACAAGGTAAAGTTCTATGGCACTCTTATTCAATACTTTCTTTTATGCATCACTCTATTATCCTGGGATGTACATATAGCATGCTCATGGGAACTTTAAAACTGAAGCGGAGTGTAATAGAATTCGTATGGAGGAATCTTGTTTAGGCGCAGTTTTGATGTTCCTTTAAAATGGATGAAGTAAGGGTATCGTAGAACTTTTGAGAATTCTATTACAACTCGTGAAATGCTCATTTGATGTCACTATGGTGCGTACTGGCCATGAAAATTATTTGATTACTTAAGAACAGACTTTATCAATTATAATTGGATATTAGCATTCGACAAAGTTTGTCTCTTATAGTACTCGATGCTTCGACACACAAACAATTGAATACTGCAACTCATCATTCTTCTGTGTTTTTCTATTAATTTGGTGGATGGTTCAATCTCTCTGTGGTCTCCCTCCTATCTATCTATATCTTATTTCTCCCCATCAACCCTGGGCACTCAATTTGGATGATGTACCACTTAGTAAGTACTTAGATCACAGCTTGATAGCCTGCGGAGTCTTGTTTAATGGGACGAATGCACTTTTAATCCCTGAATAATAATGACTAATGTGTATTCGAACCTGTATCTGGGCACGAATGAAACTAATTATCTCCATGTTCGGACGAGAAAAAGTTCTAATGAAAGAGCCCGAACTCGAGAGGACAGAATAAAATACATTTTAATTTATTTTTCCATGACTTGTGCAACCTATTTATTTTAATGCACGTCTACTTTAATCGTGTCACGTCGTAATCGTTTGGGCCCTTTCAATAATCTCTTTTATCAGTCCTGTTGATCCCGCTGAATGATGCGCTTTTGTGATTTGTTTCATGCAAACGACAGAAGTTGATCGAGGTGTGCATTGCTTTGAAGGTCTGTCTTTCTTTTCATAATATGCATAATAACATCATCAATTTCCATTTCTTCAAAGTCACCATTGCTTTACGTTTAGTCCTTGCGACTGTGTCGCGTTTAGTTTTTATACATAACAGGAGCTTTATTTTTCTACCTGTATGAAAACTCTACAGAGTACAAAATGGACATTTAAACGCTGCCTAATGACCAGTGGAAAAGATAAACTGCTTTAATTTGCTTCACGAGCTTTTCAACTTGATAATTTTCTTTGTTTATCATGCATACAACTCATAAGTTAATTTTATATGTATCTGCTGGGAAAATTGTGTTTCTCAAACTGTTACTTTGCAGAACAATGTACCCGGCTACGGTGACGGTGCGAAGGAGGATTGCAGTGATTTACCACCAAATCAACGGAAAAAGCGTCTCCAGCAAAGGCTGGATGAGATCCAAGCAAAGATACAGCAGGAAACAGCAACCAGAGACGGTCTAATGAAGATGAAGGGTGTATACGAACAAAATCCAGCATTGGGGGACCCGATGAGTATAGAGGGTCAATTGAATCAGTCCAGTAACAAATTAGACAAGCTCGGTGCAGAGTTTACAAAATTCCAAGGGTACCTCGAAGAGGCAATGAGAGCAGGAGTCAGTTTGTCCAGGTACGAAGGAGTCAAATTACATAAATAAAAATCTATCAACTAATCTGTATTATCTTAAAATCCTGCTGTTTCCTTGTAGTCCAAGTCAGGCACCTCGGAAGCCAACGAGCAATGGTTCAGCGACAAGACCATTGAGTTCAAGGAGATCAAGTCATTCGGGTGGCGAGGAAAGTTTATCGAGATCAGCATCAGATTCGAGTGTGAGCAATGCTAATGCGAATCAGCCAGTGCACAAAAAGAGTGCTCCAGGAACGCCACAGCCTACACATGGGTGAGTATTGAAATCGTAAGTCTTAGAAAGCTTGAAAAAGAGGAAAATGCACTTCAGTGAGATCCGATGAGAGAGCCTTGAAACATCTCGGTCGCGAGAGTAGATTAGAAAATGTCGATAGACAAATAGAGACAGCTTTCGCTTTACTATACTGATGCACAGTTCCACGAACAGCCCGGAATCCGGCCTCGGAGCGTCAAGGACGTCACTTCCTGGTAGCGGAGGTGAGGAATATTATGTTGACGAGGTCGATGCTCAACCACCACTTGGAACCTGTCGTGCTCTCTATCCCTTTGACGGTAAACTCTCTTAAAATTTACAAAAATTCATAACCAATCAGAAGCTAACATCAAATTTCTTAACGCACTCATTTTTTTTATCATAGCTACGAGCGAGGGTTCTATACCGATGTACGACGGGGAAGAGCTTTATATGATCGAACTCGACCAGGGTGACGGATGGACACGTGTTCGTCGTATCTCGCAACCAATCGAAGGTTTCGTGCCAACGTCGTACATAGAGTGTCATCTCTTCAACACATAGCTACTTGTATTAGGGCGCTAACATAAGTAGGTGACACCGAGCCACGAGGATGTTCTCCTTGGTATTAGAAATTGGGGTTAGGACATCCTGATGCTCGAGCGACTCTCGACGAGTGTCCTTGACCGGTAGAGGAGTGTCGCTCGTCGAAGGAATTACACGGGGCATAGAAAAATCGGTGAAACGTAATACTCGTCTACCTTGGGGTGGATGATTAGAAAACAGTGAGGATGTTTCGTGCCAAGGGGGAGTACGTAAGTTTCGCTAGAATCCAATATTCTCCATCATTTATTAAATTGTCATTCGACTGCGACACGATTCCTCTCGTACACTCTATCACCTAGTTTCTTCTAAGCAATCGGAGAGATCTCTGGATAAGCGCGAACAAAATTTAACCCTTTGTGATTATAGCGACGAACAAGGACAGGAACAGCCCGGGTGTCGATAGATATTATTATCAGGGCTGCTTGTTGTTATACTTGGTGTGCAATCGCGCGAATCGTGCTTTCTTTGCGTGCGCTCGAGGCGCTAATTAATATCGTAATGAAAGGGAAAAGAAAGGAGGAAAATAGGCGTTCGGTATTAAACCGCGTGAATCTGGCCAACTCGGCATCGCCATTGTGCTTGCGTCAGCGTGTTCGGTATTACGTAACGAGCCAGGTATGCAGAAATAAAGGAAAAAAGAAAGGTACTGGGACACTAAGAGTTATAGTGCTCTGAGAAAATGAATGTAAAATTTGAGTGAGCAATGCTTACATGCATATTACGGCCTGAATTGACGTGACCGTTGTCAAAAGTCGCGAGTCCCCGTGGCAAGAAATTTGTACTTTTTTTTTTCAAAAAAAAAAAAAAAAAAAAAAACGTTCCGTTTTTCATTTTGTATCTGATGGGTTCCCCCCGGACGGCCTGCGATCACGCTATACGAGAACGAGAGACTGATTTTCTTCGTTAGAATTATCCTAGGGGTCGTGATTTAGTAATTTTTTCTTTTTTTTTTCAAAAAAAAAAAAAAAAAAAAACGTTCCGTTTTTCATTTTGTATCTGATGGGTTCCCCCCGGACGGCCTGCGATCACGCTATACGAGAACGAGAGACTGATTTTCTTCGTTAGAATTATCCTAGGGGTCGTGATTTAGTGCACCTGTCAAACGCGGAGACATAATACGAATACAGCCAGACCGTCATACGAGTGAGAAAAAAAAAATCGAAATTAGATTTATGGATCAGACTAGAAATGAATAGAGTAAATAATTGTTAAATATGAACAGAGCGTTCAGTGTATATTTAACTGTATTTTTATCCTCGCCATGACAATCTAGCTGTATTCCAAGTCCCAGCTATTGAAAAAAAATAATTCTATTCGAAGAGTTCTACTTACACGATGTGAATGAGTTAGGTGCTTGCACAGCGGGTCGATCCAATGGCGGGATCTCTCTTGAGGAAAGAGAAAGAATGCTTTGTCTACGGTGGAGTACGGCTGAATGTGAATTAGTTAGGCTTAGATTCGTGTAAATAATCCTGACGCGTTGAGAGAGTTCGCTAATTAAAAAAAAAAGGGTACGAGAGTTTCGTACCGCGCGTGTCACATAATTCAAATGGTATAACGATAGTTGAGCACAGAGCAGGTGTGAATTGACATTCAATTTTTTAAAATACAAAATCGTTATACTAGCTTAAGTCGCGCCTAAGATTTATATATATATAAATATATATGCGTGTCGCTCGTGCGAAGCCTTTGCGAACCTGATGGATTCCTACGTGGACGGATCCAAGAACTCTCGTCCTGGACTCGACGTATCAAAAGGTGAAAACAAGAAGAAGAAAGAAGAGTTGCTGCATCGCATAGTCCTGTATCTCGCGTATTATGTGTATATATTATTATATTGAATCGTGAAAAGCGTAGCTTTCAGTATGATATGAGATAAGAAAAAGTAATTGACTAAGTTAACGTTTCCCGTTTAATGCAGGCAAACAGCCTTGGAAGGCGAAAAAAATTCGACTTTCTCGTCTTTATCGATTCCAATCCTCCAAGACATCCGTTTCCCTACTTGTTTATTGTATGCGTATACATATGAGAACTGCGTTCTTACAATAGTCAGAGCAGTTAGCTTCGCTGCCAGTTGTTGCTGACGTCTTCGTTTTATTTCTGGAGGCTCGTGTGTAATTCGACAATGCAATAATTTATCGTGTCTCTGTCAGTCGCGAAAGGTCGGGCAGCTGCTTCGCGACGCTCTATTCGTCGATAGTATATTATTGCGAGCGAATTGTCACTCTGACAGTGTGCAGCGAGCTTAATGTCCTCCATTTTAAGTTACAAAAATGAAGAAGCAGTCATTGTTATGTTGAACGAAGAGTTGTACCTTGTATAGCGTGAAGAGAGGAGAGCGAGCGGCGAGGATAGATTAGTAAAGAGAAAAGAAGAAGAAAAAGAATTACAGTAGCTAGTAAAGAGAACCGACTAGAAGAGGAAGAGTACCTCTGATCCTTAAAATTGAACGTGTCCATTCTATGTATATTTTGTGATTTTATATCCATTGACAAGTATTGTAGATAATTAACTCTGCGACTCATTATACATTTAATTATTAATTATTAATATTGAGAAAATATACTAAACCAATGTAACTCATTTTTATTTAGTGCACGATCGCTATTACGATATACGGTCGAGTTCATATTTCACGAAAGAACCCGTGTCTAGCAGTAGTCAAGATCCCAACGCCATTTTGTGGGCTTCACCCTTTAATTAAAAATTTTCTTTTTTCTTTTGTTTTTCCGACAACGAGAGTTATCACGTTAATTTCACTTTTCTTGGCGCGTATCCATTGGCACGTTGTTCTTCTTGTTTTCGATATTGTCGCACGACCCATTTATCTTCACTGTCAAAAATCACGGGACACGCGACTCCATCTGTAAAGCTGTAATTATTATAAATAACGCATAAGATGTGCGAAAGGGATTGCGGAAAGTAAGCGTAATTGGTTTGTTGTTTCTCGTCGTATTCTTTTTTTTTTTTTTCGCAAAGTGTATTGCAACGTCCCATTATGGACAATTGACTAGATCGAAAGAAAACAAAACTAAAAGAGAGAGAAAAATACAGAATAATACAAGGCTTAATCGAGTTTAGGATACAATTCCTCGTTTTCTACTTGTTCTATTATTTTTTCTAATTCTTTTTTTTTTTTTTAACTTTTTTATCGCGCGCTCTCGTCCTGCGTCTTATATACATACACGCCTGGAGATACGTGTACAAATGAAATACAATGGGACTTTTAAAATTGTTGGAGCTTCAAAAATACACATATATATATAAAACGTAATACGAACAGCCTATTTAGCGTAATCCAAAATCACAAAAAAATGCTTATTATTGTATCGCTGTAATCGTATCATGGACGATTACGTTTGTTCGTATTTCTTTTACAAAACTTGATTATTTCGACGTCGTCGTTGTTTCATTGGTACATGAAATCGACAACAAAAAATCAACGAACACTGGCAGTCGTACTTATTAGATGAACAAACACGGATATTATCGCACGGAGTTACATTAACAATTGTTTCATAGCAATTGAAGTAAATTCAAGGTTAAAAAAGAAAACCAGGAAATTCAGAAGAATTCCGTTTTACGTATAAATGAAAAGATGTTCAAGTTAGGCAAATTACAAGAGAAAAAAAAAGCAGGAGCATCGTTAGCATCTTACGGTTCGTTAATTTATATTACGTGTTACACACCCGCTCCGAGAATACTGTTGCAACAATATACAGTAGATTTTACTTAAGGCGAATTCACATACACCTCGCGTTACCTCGCTATCTTGTTAATTCAGCCAGTGAATTCGCGAGGAACTCTAGCTACGAAAAAGAAAAACAGAGAAGACTTTGTTCGATAAGACGAGATAAAAGGTTTTTTTTTCACACTCGTGAGACCGTTAAAATGCCTTGTAAAAAGGTAGAAAAAAAATTATAATAAAATTAAAAAGAAAAGAAAGCCATAGCGCATAAATCTCGGTCGTAAAACCGTACCGAGTTCCTCGGGGCGATGCGTCACCGGAGGTAAACTACGTCACCGGAAGTGATACACAACGTCACACCGGTAGAATTGACTTCTCGCGAATAATACTTGATAACAATTTAGGGCTTAGCAGGCGAGTGGACTCTCATTTAAGTACATTAATTAGTAATAATAGGTAATTAGAGATACGATTGATCACTTTGGCGATTGTCCCGCACCGTCGTCGTATGCCACGTGTGTGTCAGTTCAGTCTATTCTCACTGTACAAAATACTAGGTTTTTATTTATTTTTTCTTTCTTCTATATGATTCGCGCGACGCGAACGTCTCGCGAAGTCTTGAGCAACCTCAGTCGAGCGAAGACGGGACGTCGTTTTTAGGTGTCTGCACCGTCAGCACGAACGATTGACGATGACGACGCCGACGATCCTTTTTCTTCAGGGAAATTCCTTACTTTCCTATCCCTCTTAGGATCTCACAGTCTTTGCCGAGGATATCTCAGACGGTTAGGTCTTCCCATTCCTCTGCCTCGCGAGGCGTCATTTCGATTTTGATGAGCGTCACGGAACTCAGGGCGTCGTGAACTCGTGGCGTCAATGGATTCTCTTGGAGATCGACGAATTCTAGTGCTGGCGCAAGCTTCAACCTCTCGACGTCAACCTCTGTAGATGGGAAAGAAGAGAAAATAGAATTTTATTCAAATATTTTGTTTACTATTAATTATCTCTCCTGATTGCAATCTATTATCTTTAATTTTCCTAATGCATGCATTTATTGCATTTGCATTGGTAGTATCGTGCAATTTAACCAACTGGACTGCTAGTATTTCAATGGAGAAAGTCATATCAGATATTTCTTTCTGGTTTATTTGCGCTTGTTACTTGTAATTGCGAAAGGTGGCTCATATAATGTAGACTGTTTTACGCAGCCAGTGTCTTACCGATGATGGAGTTGTTGTTAGCCAAGAGCTGCTTCAGCTGAGGTATCCGGAAGGTTACAGATGGTAAGGCGATATAGGTATTGTGTGAAATGTCCAGCATCTCCAGAGCCTGGAGCTCGGCGAGTTCCTCGGGGAGTTTGCACATTTGATTGTGACTCAGGTTGAGTTCTGTTAAAAAATTTGGACATCTTTGTGGTGCAATTTCTTGTTCTATTTATTTACTTGTATAATAATATTTCATTTACCTGTAATCAGCGAGAACTTCACTGCGAATTTTGGTGGGATTTTTGTAATAACGTTTCCCGACAGGTCGCATCTCTTTAATTCCGTGTGTCTCATCAAATGATAGACTGCGTCCGGTACTTGCATTAATTGACACTCAGACAAATCTGAAATGCAGAGAAATAATGTGACCTATGGAAAAAGAACGAAGGTAAGTATTTCAATGGAAATGTTTTTTTTTCATTTCATGTTAGATTGTAATATCGTCGATACTCCTTTGGGAAGGGAATAAAATGCCTTATAGTTAGATATCCGATAAAAGAGGCTTCCATATAAAAACTAAAATCTCTGCAGGCTAACGTCCTTATAGTATACACCCCGCAATACGTTGATCTCGTCGAAAGTAAATTTAACATTAGTAAACGGCGGTTCACGCTTTCTCCAGCTCGATTTCCAGCACGTAAATATAATTAGCGTGCTCTTGGAATACGAAAGAATGCTAGATATTATTATCCGGTAGTAATACATTTTATTAAAGCGAAGAAAAAAAATATAAGGAGAGAGCTGTAGGCGAAACTGAATATTCGTACAGGAATATAATGTACATGTATATCCTTGTCATAGGTTGCTATATCGATTAAATCTTAAGGAACCGAATCACACGAATTTATAATTTCTCGTTCGATCAGCTGTTTGAAAACTGGGTCGTACAACGTTAAAATACACCTACTCGAACACGTGAGTCTGGTAGATTATTCGATTGACAAGTGGACTGGAAAACGAACATGCGTAGGTTTTAAATATTGCGCGTCATGTAGCTGCGCGCGCATCCAGTAACTGTTCTGTAATATGACGTGATTTGTGTGAACACTGAATACACCTGTAGTCGAGTACAAAGTGGGTCACAGAGCTTGATAAATAACTATGGAGATTTTTGATTTATAGATCAGAATATCTTTCCGGTTGACAGACTGTATAGATTTCTTGTAATTGTATAGTTTACTTGTTTTTTTTCCTTTACCCAGATTCTCGTTCTCCTGTGCCTCCTCGCAGCGTAAAATCACTCTAGTGACAGCGTTCGCCATCTTGGACGAAGATACTTTCTTAGACTGTGGCTGCTTTGGCTGGTAGTCGCCGTCAAGGGGTTATTTTTACGTGATTTTATAAATAAATCGACCCTCTTGACCAGCCTTGACATTCTTGGGGATCACCGGAACCCGGAATTTGGATACCCGGAAACGATTAACCACAACACGTTCAATTAGTTTACTTTAACGAGAACAAAACAATTAAAAAATCGTGCCTAGCCTCGATAAAGAATAAAACGGTAATTTTAACAATTTTTTAAGATTTCCAAGCATGAGAAAAAAGTTCAAATTTATCATAAGAGACAGTCGTTTGTCTCTAGAAGCGTCAGCGAACTACGCATGTCGTAACGAGAAACCGAATCCAAATTTAAAACCCGCGATTATAGTTTTCACCATTGAATAACATCTAACGAGTACTCACGTCATTTTTAATTACGTAATATGCTTCACGCTCCCTAATTTCACCAAAGGATCCACACGAAATTCTCATTAAATCAAAATCCGTAACGAGGATATCGGACGTCCAAGTTTCGCGTTAAAAAGAAGTACACTTTCTAGTAACGCCATCAGACGCCATCGTCACTCAACTCCAAGCACCCTTTCATATTTCAAATTTCCCTAAGATCTACAAGATAAATTAATACCAGGAAGTTCTAGAGTAGCTACGATCAACGAGAACGAATAATCAAGACTCCAAGAGGCTGATTGGCCACTAAAAGGTTATGGCATCTGCCAATTCGCATAAACGTACTTATCCACATATACGTAAGTCTCTACGCCAAGGCATTTATACGATATTGTCAGCCAGTTCCCAACAACGAAGAGGCAGAGAACTTCGAAGTACATAGAGGAGATTGCTTTTTGTCGCGAATTCCTTTTCCGCGTGCGAACGCAAGGAACTCCATAGCATATATACGTATAGTAAGGAAGGCAACGGGAGGCCATGAGGCCTTAGGGCCTTCTTAGCGTCAAGTTGCCTTTTAAGGTTATGCCACCGTATACGGAGGCGCCCTGTATTATATCTAACGTGCACGAGGTACCCTTGTATATTTTATATACCGTCCACTGGATATATAAAGGTATACGTATACATATATATGTACACAAGTTTTATTGCGTATACAAGTCCCAACGGTGCTGACCAAACCGACAAAGACAATGAGGCCGATGTGTACGTGCATATATATTTTTGTTTTCTGTCTTCAGAGAAGAATAAAAAGAAGAGAAGAGAAAGAGAAATGGGTTTTGAGACGGAATGCAGAATCCTTTTGCTAGCATTGCCAAGGCTTTAGCCTTCCTCCCAGCTTTAGTCTGTACTGGTAATCTATATATGTGTATGCAGATGTATGACTGTTACTCTTGTTATACCTAGTGACTGATACATAACTAGTGATCTCTTTCCTTCTTTCTTTTATTTATTTTTTCATATCTCTCTTCTCTCTCTCTCTCTCTCTCTCTCTCTCTTACTACAGTAGCGCGTACAACCCAGCCCAAGAACAAAGACCGGACGCCGTATTGTGCAATCCTATGTTTATCCACGTAATTATCTATGCTGCCGTCTCTACTATGCATTTCACTTTTATTTCAACCGATGCACCGGGTTTCCATCGTCGTGGCTGCCACTCAGTGCATCTTGCGCAAGAATTCATTACACCTGAACGGGCATGAACGTAACGTATAACGAACTCGCAGATTCAGATTCATTTTGACTTGTGCCTTATATCTTGTATGATTTTTGTTCAAAGGAAATTTAAATGGATCCAATTGTTCTGCCTGGTAGATCTTAACTGACGAGAAGTATAAAAGAAAAGAAAAAAGAGACTGAGTATAAATTACTGCGTAGATTTAAGAATCATAACTGTGCGTGGGCTGAGTACTGGTTAGACACCTCGTAACCGGAACGCGTGCTGACGCTTCTAAACAAAAGAAAAGTCTTTCCTTATGTTGGCCATTGTATCGTCAAGGTCCATTGCGACAAAGAGATGATATTGCGAAGGACCATAGGTACTTCCGGCTAATTTTCATTGCTTCTGGTAAACGAGACGTTGCTCCTGTAAATATTACGGAAATTCACTCGGGGTTGTACTGACGTGCGACTATCGTTTTAATATATTTTTTTTTGTTACTGTGTCATGATGATGTTACTGCTGTTGAAAATTGCAGAGTGCCTAGTATCACAGCCTAGAAGCGCGCTTGGAGTCTAAACAGTATATAAGAGGCTTGAAAGAACCCGTTCTCTTGGACGGGAAACTTTCGCTGGCCGCCGATTAGAAATCTCCTTTTAATTTCTAATAAAGAGAAGAAGAATCGACAAAGTTGCAATGAGAAGATCCTTGAATTAAGATGATGATTCGCTGATGAAGATGAGGATGATCAAAAAATTTTCGTATGTCTCTACAGAGTAGCAGACCGGAAGTCTCGTTTATAATACTTCACGTGTATATACTCATGGAACTGGAGATATAGATACAGACTGACTAGAATCATTTAGTGGTACGTCCTTCTTGGGTACGAATTAAAAATGGCAGAATAGTCATTGGGCAAGGTCCCAGATGTTTCCCAGTATGGGTAACGCAAGGATCGAGCCTTGTTCGCTTTCGTCTGAACCAGGAAGTTGAGGATCATACTGGGTGTTCAGCAAGTAGACACTATATCTACATATATACATAATCCTTGGATTTAAGTTATTTTTGAATCATCCATACTATTTAACGTAGTCTTAATAACACGTTGTCCTTCCTACTGTTTCTTAGATTCTACATGTCTCTTTGAGTGGCTACGTAGTGACTGTCTTTGACGATACTTCTGGAAGCGGAAAATCGATATCCAGCAAGACATCGGGAGATACATCGGTCACAGGGACTGGCAGAGAATAGGGCGCACGCACGTGTCTAATTGCGAAATATCGTTATACATAAGATGTCAGTGATTGCGTCAGGATGTATATCGTAAGTGGATTATGCCAGTGTTGGGTCAGGCCCTGATCATTAGCTTGCCAAATGTATAAAGACTCCTTTGATGTCACCTATACTAGAAACGGAAACAGTTTTCTATGTTAGAGACACGATTCTCTTCCGTATAATAAGAAATTGTACGTACGGGATCTACAGTATCTTTTAATGGCTTTCTAAATTAATTAAAATAGATTTTTGCTATCTGTGCCCTTATATACACTTATATACCTGTCGGTGTGTATAAATTGTATGTAGCAGAAAAAAATTAGTTCACTGTTTTAACGCAGATCTTATCTTTTGTTTAATTATTGATAACGTAATGAGAAAAGTCCAAATATGCTCTATTGCGTTTTATGATTTCATTGTCAAAATAACAATTAATGAAATCGATAACTTTGTCACGTGGTAAAACGGTGCTTAACAAACTGGTACCGTTATCGGTTTGATAAAGCAGTAGACTCTTTAAAAGTACGCAGTAAATAAGTCATTGTACTTGTTGCTAAAAATATATTGTAGAAATCCCTGTTATCGTTCAGTATCAAAGTTATCAATGTAATGAGACTGACGTGACACATTTTGTTTTTATCTAGATCAGTGTCCATCGGTTTTGGTACTCACCTAAATTACAATTGTCCTGGGCTTCCTCGCATCTGGAAACCACACGTATAATCGCTCGACCCGCCAATTGTACACACACGGCCATGGCTACGTTCCTCTCTCCCTGTTCCTGGGAGATCTGCTGAACCTCCGCGGTATTGTATGCAGGTGGCTTCATTTTGTAAAACGATAATCGACCGAGAGGATCGTTAACAGGAAAATCTAACGACACTCTTTATCTGATTGACACAGAGAAGACAAAAGTCTGACGTTTCCAAGAGTTCTGGTGAAAAGTATTTCACAAGCTCGAGAACAGGAAGAACTTCTTAACACGGCACCCGGTAAAAGAATTATTCCTTTAGATATTAAATCTTTTAATTTATCGTCATTTATCCTCTGCTCTCTGTGTACGACATATTAGTACACTGATGTATTTAGTATGGAGTATCTCTTTGTTCTCCCTTTTATTATCTTGCCCCGGGTAACTGCGGCTACCGACAGATCCCACGAATCCGATTCGATTAATTTTATTCTTTTCTTGTTTTACAGAAAATACAAATTTGAGATCTCTTCGGCTTCCCTTCGGTTTACGCGGCTGCGATTCCTTTGAAAGGATCGTGATAACGAGGCCCGTTAGATGGGGGCTCCGCTGCTTGGCACTGCTCTCTTCCAAAGCTCACGGTGCTATTTAAGCCTTCACTCCTTCTCCCACCAATCTGCCGAGATGCATCTCCGATCAGCTGACTTTGTCTGGTCTCCCTCTTTGTTTGAAAACAACTAGAGGATCCGCGTGCGTCCACCGTGAATTGGGGACATCCACGTGGTGGTTCTTCTTACCATTTAATAGCGATTTTACAAATTGGATCCGTTAAAGAGGAATATAACGTAGATAAGACAAAGAAGATTTGTCATATATGAAATGATAAGGCTTGATCCTGTCAGAGGAAATAGATTTAAGGGTATTTAGGTATGTATGATACTTAAAGAAATCTTTTTTATTTTCTATAGATCCAATATGGCTAAATTAAATTCATTTAGTTAGTAACGCAATTTAATCGCATTGCTTTGCTGAATCTGTTATTTTTCCGGTAGTGACTATGGAAACTACGCTTTGTTTGGCTCGCTTTCATTTCCAGATACTCGTCGCCCATTTAGAATGTCAGAATCGTTAGCCAGGCTTTTACGTACGACGCAGGTTTAAATGCTTATTCGGCAAATTGCCCACTGCGCCATTTACGCAGTGCCTCTTATCACCTAAGGAAAATTTCGTACTCCATCTCAGCTGCAGAAACAACTCAAAATCATCTTGGTGGCTCATTGAAGATCTATACAGTCTACGTCGTGCGGGCACAGTGAACTGCTGCCGCCTCCGCGAGGAACTACGACATTCTTCCATTTAAAAATAGAACTCACTCGACTTTTTCAGACGTTACAAGTAAAGTATTGTTTTTATAATTTTTTCGTATACTTTTTCACAGCTGCTCTCGCTTCTACGTATTTCCAAAAAAGATTTATCTCATTGTTTATGCCCGTCTTGACGACAGACTCGCGAACGTAATGTTTACGTTCAATCAAGACATTAGGAAATTAACTATTTTTATCATATTCCAAAATTTATTAAATTCTCATTCGATCTAGTAATTTGGTTTCTTGGTTTTTTGATAATTTCATTTTTTTTCTTTGACAGATTGGAACTTCGAAGAAGTTGGCAATTGACAACGATTTTGAAAATTGATTGACTTTCCTCAAGCGAGAATGATATATGGAAAATGAAAATAATCGTATGTCTAAAATATTATTGCACACGCATCAAATTCGTATACGAACGTTTCGACATAACGTTAGCAAACACGGTGAGTGTGTCTGGAAAATTTTGCGAAATTGCCAAAAGCATCGCACGCACATATTGGAACAAAGAGATTTGTTCCATAAAATGAAGAAAGGTACGTGAAGTATTTTTATTTAAAAAATTCCACCTTCCAAAACCCCCTGAATTACGATTATTCTCGTTATTTTGAAATTTTGAAATAGAATGACGCCAGGGAAGTTTTTACCTCGAAGTACAACGAAAGCAGCAATAATCATTTTGGAAAATGTTGACGTCTCTAGAACAAAATTGCTCTTGGAAACACTCGACCGTTATTGCGACGTAAATCTGACTGTTCCTCGACTATTAGGTAAATGTTATGTTAAAGAGAGAAAAAACGGCTCAATACACTTCATTAAAACTCGACGTGTCTTACAGCCAATTTCTCTTCCATTTAAATCTCAATATTTTACTGTATTTAAAATATCTGATTATTTTACTAGATAAAACCAAGTACGAGTCAACCGAAAAGGAGTATAGTCATTATTTTGGAAAAGGATGGGTTCGACGAGTTTCTTGAATTTTCACATCGTCACTGAACTCGAAGAAGGTCATCCGTTATTTCGTCTCCTGGTGAAACTCTTCAGGGTCATCTAAATCGGTAGCACGGTCGTCTGGGTGCATTTTGCAAAAAATAAAAGGAAGAAAAGTGTCTCCTTTCGGGTAGCTATTCGTGCCTCCATTCATTGTCCGTAGTCCGAAGGCCCAAGAGGGATAAAATGTTTATATGCCTCTTGGTATTCTTGGCTCCCGACCAAGAAATACTGCGCGTGCATTTTCAATACGAAAATAGATCTCCGACCAGAAAATCCCCCATGACTTCTTATACTGCGCTTAGCCTTAACACTAGTGTACCTGAGGATCCACGTAAACGTCAAAAGTAGATCAGATTTGCGCCATACTATGTTTCATACTAGTCCATGCGTTACATCTGCGTTCTAAGTAATTGTAAAACGAAGGTAGAGGAAACCTATTGGGTCTCTTATAATGCGACGTAGTTACATACAAGAATGCGTGTAGGAATACGCAGTGGAGGATGTCGCGCGTGGGTGATTTTGTCGGAAATTAAAGAGGAAAAACCTTGACGCGAAGGATGGAAAATTCAAAGAGGTCGTCGATTTCACGTACCAATTTAAAGCAGGGGCCGACGTCTTGGCTCTTTGTGCCGTCCAGATGATATTCTACGTCTCGCGGATTTGCGTATTTTGGTATTTTCGTATTTACCGAGAATTCGCATTTACGTATCTTCTAAATCCCCCGGAAACGCACACGCGGCGGCCACGCGCCAAACTTCGCCGGAGATTGACCGCTGACTTTACTGTGTCTTCCTTTTTTATTTTTCTTACTTCCTTCTAACTCGTTCTTTTTTTCCACTTGAAACACTCGGTTTTTCCCACGTTGATAATAGCGTCTATCACGTGTCTCTTGGAAACTTCTCGGTAAGATGAAAATATACCTTGCTCCTGTTCTTCTATTCGCGGTAGAAAACGAAATTTAATAATAAGCAAAACCCTCACTGTCATCTAGCCAATTTTTTGGATTTTCTTGGATTCTCTATTATTTCAATGAATCAGTTGCGTTAGTATGTTCGCCGTGTAAATGAGTTCAGATTTATAAAAGAAAAATAGAATCAACCCACGCAGCAAATAGACGGCGGGCAACGTGCGTCCATTCGATTGTTTACAAGCAGCAATAAAAAATAATAATAATAAACATACAAAAATATTTACAGTAAACACAATAATTCTTAAGTCATGCATAAACACTGATTAATATCAAATTAATCATCTTTGTCTCTACCAAATTTTGTATCCGATGAACTTTGAAGCACGGTTTACGATCAGCCATACGTATTATAAGAATTAATCATAATCCTGAATCATAGTACTTAGACATATCAGTGAGCAAAAAACTGTCGTCAATGCAATATCTATGAATAATAAGAATAGCTTTGATAAGAAGTGATAAAGGAAACTACGTAGTACACGTACATATATATCTTTTTTATTTCATAAAACAACAAAACGCACGAATACATTCGTTGATTCTTTTTTAATTCTATTCCAACAGTCCATTCAATCAATTCTCACTAAATTCCCCTTTATCTACTATCATTTAATATATGGATGGACTACAGTTTATTATACAATATGTATGTAACTCGTCAGTATTTCCTCAGCTTGCACAAATTTGTAAAAGCTAATACTTGATACGTCAGTTCAGAATTGAATAATTCGTTGCTAATCGAGTATTATCATTGAATCTCGTTGCCTAAACTGTCAATTTCCAAGTCCATGTCTGATTGACTTCGACCAGTTGCCATATCAGACATTGATGTAAGAAATTCTTAATTGGCATTATAATAACAGTTTAGGATAATCATATTAAATACTATGACGAATACACAGAATACACTCGATTGGACGCTCTTATAACAATTACCTTATCGCTAATGATAATTATTGATTAACCCCTTGGATAGCATTAACGTCGTATCATGTCAAAAATTGTGTCTTTGTGGGCATTGTGCAATGTGGCGAAACATTGTTTTTTTTTTTCAATTGCATCAAAATACTTTTTCCTTGTCCACTGAAGAACAAACAGTTAAATTTTACTTGCCACGAAGGAGTTAATACCGATAGACGAATAAATAGAATTTATATAATTTCAGCAGCCTCGATATTATCACACAGTGTAATGATTCTTGATAGAAAGTATCAGTAAATATAACGCAAGACGCGCATCTAGATATAATCACGTATTCTATGGCGATTGTATGTATATCTACCAAAACAAGTCTTAGCAATTGGTGTTCTTCGGTGAACTAGATATATATATATATGCATCTATAAATACATAATACTCCTGAAGAGTAATTAAAAAGTGCATGCCGCAAATATGTCTGAATAGCATAATACAATTATTTAGCTTATCCAGGCATACGTCCATTGAGCTAATCTGAATAGTACGGAGTATTAATAATGATAAAGCTAATAATCGTAATTGGATTCAGCAATAAATTGCATGAACCATAATTCTAACAGTAACAAGATACACCATACATTCATTAATAATCTCACGTATCGCAAAGAGGCGATTGTTGATAGCGTTTACATATACGAGACAAACGAATAAACAAATTGAATATCTAACAATAAAATCCACTCCCTAGCTATTCTACGGATAAATATCATTGAATTGACTGATAGCAACACGAGCTTAGAATTATGCGAGAGGCAATAAATCAGCTGACCGAGTATTAATATAATTGTAAATGAATATGTATTCCAACTTAAGATTCCTTTGAATTTTTCGTTCTTTCCAGTGCATCTTGAGCATGTTGCAGTCCGGCGCAATAGTGCAACAAAAGTACACTGAGTGCCTGCACTCGTAAATCACTTTGTGCAATCATTTTTGCACTATCTGCATCACCGGATTGTGATAATTCCAGTCTTGAGGTAGTTTCCACGTCCAGAGCTGACTTCAGTTTGCTCATCTGTAATAGGTATGACAAATTGAATTAATTTAATTGGCTATTGATCCTCCAGGTGATGATGGATTAAAGTTTTAATAATGTAGAAGCATTTTGTTACCATGGTATTAATTTTTCCCATGCGTTCTTCCGGTTCCAATGATTTGTAGAGGAACTTTCCAGTGTCCCTGGCTCTGGACATCAGACCGTCGTCTAAATCCCCAGCGACGAGGAGTGCTGCTACACTGGGCTCCGCACCCTCCAGTAGATCAGGAGTTATACCCAATCCTCCCACGAGTGAATTCTAAATGTTTTTGCCTTTATTATTCGCATCATCAGAGTCTCGTGTCGCGGATGGCCATTCATTAGTTTCCTGCGATTGTTAAGCGAAGCGAAGCGCATACTTTGGGGCAAACTATTAGTACCTAATTATGGTTTCTAAAAAAATGTGTCATTAGGTGTACTATAATAGTCAGAGATTCAAGCAATTTCATATTTACAGTTTTTGAGCTCATCTTTAGATATCAACTTTTTCTAGTATAATTTGTATACTGATGCTCATAGAATTTTAGAATTGTTACAATTCAATTGCATTCCTCGAATATGTCATGCATTCTTTAATATTGTCTAATTAGCTGTATTATTATAGATATTTTGCTGGGCGTAAAATGCGATTGGATAATTGAAATTCTTGAGGAAACGATACAGAGCCTAGCATTGCAAGCGAAGCGCATTGCAGTGCGAATTGCATAATTGCAGTTGGATAAAAATATGTCAGAAAAGTGCATATAAGGAAATAAGCATGAGAGAGGATATGCAAGAGGTTTCAATTACAAGGAATTAATTAGAGAAAGAGAAAGAGAAAGGCCAAGGATGTTAAGTAGCATATAGAAATAGCTTTAAAAAATAGTATAAAATAATGCTGAGGTTTCTTTGCATCTTTTTTTTTCTCAAAGCTTCTTACCAATAAATTATGAGAATAGACAAACAATCGTACACTGGCATACTCTTGACAGTACTCTTCTCTACGTAGACATTAAATTTATGGTCTCAGTGCTACCTTGCGAGATGCGCAGGGACTTGGGGGAAGACTTCTAGATGCCAAACCAATACCGGAAGTCGGTGGGGCCAGACAACTTGTACTTCCGGCCTTCTTTAGGCCCAGCAGTGTATTAGCTATGCTGGCCTTCATAGCCATCATACTTGCACCCTGATTAATTGATCAATGCATTCGTATACTTTTAATTATTTACTCGCTATACACCATTCTAATAACTATGCTTGCAGGATCTCCATAAAGTAAATAGGAAGGCACCTTATATCGATCAAACAAAGGTGCAATGATTATGATGTACTACTAAGAAGGTAGTATAGCCGGATTAATATGTTCTATACTTTATGAACACCCTGTTCATCGGTAGCTGGGACAAGGTGCAAGCCTACAAAAAACCTCCACCTTCGCGAGTGCGGATGATCATGTTTTATTAGCAACAACATATCATAGTTCATGCTTAACAATTCTCAATTGTAATATTTACAAGGTAGCCGAAGTTATCTGTGAAACTGTATAAGTCAACGAGATTATTATTGGACTATGTATCTTTCATAATTCTCCTATATCATTTCTTTCTCTTTGGATTCCATTTTTTGTAATTAGTCTAAAGGATATGTACTTTCGAAGGATCAATCTGATAATCATTGGTCATTCTATTCATAAATATTTTGTAAATTGAAGCCTTGCTTCTCTCTTTTTAATACTACTCGTGATTGATACTCAATGTAACTAGAGATTGGACTAGATTTTTTATCTCTTATCAATTAAGGGAATATAAATTTTTCGTTTTTCTTTTCTTTGGCCCTTTTAAGACTCACGCGATATGTCAAAATTACTAAGTGACAACGTAACGCAAATGAAATAATACAATGGCGACATTTTTTACTATGTGTTCAGTACCTGAACGTTATCCTCACAGCCCGTAAGTGATATCTCTGGGCCCACTTCTCCTGGTACAACACTGCTTTCTATTTCGTCGGCTTCGTACGCCAAACTTGCCAGACTCTCCGCGCCACAAGCCCCGGAAGCCTGACAGCGGACTTCGCATTTCTTATGGCAAACCATACCACAGTCTCGACACTGTACAGCATCCTTTAGCCAAATCTATACCAAGAAAATAATTAGCATTAAATTAGTATATAAGAAACATCTCAAATCAAGATAGCCTATTGAATTTAATGAAAAATTATTCATCACCTTCTTCGTGCAGAAGTCACAATGTGTTGCACGATGAAAATGCGTGCGAATGAAATCGTGTAATTTCTTATCGACATTTTCAGTGCTTGATGTTGGCTGCACTTTAATAGCCTCCGCAGTTTCTTTTTTGGTGAAATCACCAGTGCCCTGGTGTCGAGATTCTTGGGAAGAGGCCCAAACGTAGGACAGTAGGACATCACCATAGCAGAGACTGGGATCAAATCCTGAATATCCTTGTACCTTGGAGTTAGTTATGTTGGGGGAAGCTGTTGAGAAAGATAACATTTAATTAGAAAGTCATTTCGTTAATAACTAGTGTGACGTGATTTTTCGATTCACGGTCACAAGGCGACTCCGGCTACGGATATAGATAACGTTCTCGATTTCGGATTCCCTTCGGGTCGCCACCCTGTTCAGAAGCTACGCTCTCTGGTTGATTCGTATAGTTATGCCAATGCTCTCGGAAGATTTCGTTATTGTTTAGTTGAGGTCGAGGTGCTCGAATCTGCCGTGGGGAGATAGTCTCGACGTACCGAGTTGCCCGGCAGAGGAGAGTACCCGACGGAGACGTCTCCACGGACCGGCAGAAGCCCGGGTGAGATACCGGCGCCCCGCTGGAGATGGGCAAAGGGCTGTAGAACGGGCGGAGGTAGTTTTGATACGGTTAAGGGCAGGAGAGGAACCTCCTGCCCGAGTTAAGGATGTGGTGCCCAGCTGTCGCCCGATGCCTTGGGGAAGCGGCCGTGGAGGATCTCCAGGTGATACGTACCGATTCGTTAAGGAACGCTCTCGATTTGGTTTAAAGGGACGACTCGAAGGCTCGCACTATTTGCCGGACTCTTACTCCGACCCTCTCTACCTCAAGCCTAGCAGCCTGAGCGGCCGTGCATTTCCGTAACCGTCCGCTCCCGTTCGTGTATCCAGTTGCGTTTGCTGATTTTACGCGACCCCAAAGATCAGCACCTACGGTTGCGTTTCTCGATTTTACGCGTCCCCAAAAATCGACAGGATCCGTTAAGCTATCGCCTTGTCCGATAGGTTCCGTCAGAGCTCTCGTTCTTGGTGGAGTTGGGCCTGTTCCACCCCAACTCCCAGTTTATACCGGCTCGTCAATTCCCGGTGAAAAAAGAATTGGCTGGCGGCCGCCTGGCTTGCGGATGCACGAACGACGAGTGGACGGCCGAAGGTAACGTAGGTTGGTTCTCGAAGATAGTCGTTCTCGTATGTTTTGCTATCGGTGTCGGGTCATAAGTTAAAAGAATTACGTTACACTAGATAAATTCCAATATCAGTAGATTTTACGAACCGGTGTCGGGTGGTAGCAGGGCGTAGCACTTCAAGTAGTGTCCAGTTGTCGACGTGGAGCACTGTGCCAAAATTAATTTTATCGGAGCGTTTATGTATCCTAATAATTTAGGCGGATTTTCACCGCCCCGAACGCGTACCCAGACGCCCACGTTTAAGTACTGCTGCTCCGAGTCGATCCGGAAGTTCCTGATCTCCTCGAACGTCATCACAGAAGCTAACGATCTCTCCTTGGTCGTGTGGTATAAATCCGTCATAGTAGGTAGACTGTCCTCCATGTAGTAAGTGTGCATGCTGCTAGATGTAGTTGAATTGTTAGACGTGGTGGAGATTCTTCTCGAGGGTGAGTCTGGAATTTGAGCCAGTTCTTCCATGACGTGACTACTGCTGTGACGCCTCCTGGATAATTTGCTGGTTAAGTCACCTCTGTCTAGGATCTCAAAGTCGGCATCTCTCAGGTCAGAGAATTTCATTTGAGTTTCGAACTTCGTTCTTGGACTGTCCTCGACATTCTGCAAGTCACTCTTACTCAGGTCGATTCTGGAAGACTTTCTATCCATACTTTTATCTATAGATGATCGTTCACCATCCATCCTCAGGGAATTATACCTATCTGAGTCGATCCTAGTGTATCTTCTTTCCACTCTGATAATGAAACGTCTTTGGGCTGCGTTCTTTACTAATTTTCCCACCTGGTTCATGTTCGATACTTTCTTCCCATCGACGGCAACCAATATGTCGCCTCTTCGCATTTCCGCAATGGCTGCTGGACTTCCTGCCACGATAGTCTCCACCAGGACGCAGTTCTGTCCGATTTCTGACACAGTCTCTTGTTTAAATACTACTCCTAACTGTTGGTCGGTAGTTTTGCTGATAATCAAGTCCAATATCATGTAAGGTACTCCGCTGTATTGAGTCAGGTAGATCCAGGGCGTTGAATCCACGCTCATTGTACAGTATACCTCGACCTGGGAAGATTCCTCGGCATTGAGGTTGATCGAGGAAAGATTTAACCTGCTCACATCCAATAGATTAACTTCTAAATAACCTGGCGTGAGCTGGGTACTTGCGACCTGGAAAATTGCAATGGTAAATTGATGTTTGGTAAGTTTTCAAATGTGAAAGTGTTTACATTTATAAGAATTAGATTCAATAGAACGTACTTCTGTCAGATCGATGTCCTCGTCGTTCAGTCTTCGGAAAAAGGGTTTGTAACGCATCTTATAGCGAGGTAGAGTATGCTTCTTTCTGACAGCTCTGCGAATCTGTCCTGTGATCAGGGAAACTATTTGAGGCTGCAACTGACGACCTTGGAATTGGGACTGCACCTCCAGTTCCAGGATTGGTTCAGAATAAAAGCTAAGTGACCAATGTGTATATGGGACTCGAGTAAACTGCAACCTGGCTCTTCCAGCGACACGTTTTACTAAAAAATGAGATTTGATGATTAAACTATTAGGAACTGTTTATTATTTAGGAATGGAAATTTATAGACCTTGCAACGCCAAGTATGCAGTTTTTCCAAGAAGCATTTTAACATCTATCGACATCTGGAAATTTCCTGAGTAATGCAAGTCGAGAGATAAGTCCAATGTCTCTAAAAGACCTGTGTCAGCATCAATTTTAGAATCAGCAACCTCTAGTCCCTTTATTGTTGGAAACTGAGTGCCAAGATGTAAGTCCCTTAACTGAAATAATGTGATATTAATAATAATGGATAATTAAATATTTTAGTTTGCGGATAGATTCAGCATAGCTACCTGAACGCTGTCAAACAGTCGGCCAGTGGTTGTACGTGTCAAAAGTTCTTTGAACTCATTATTTAACTTCCTGTATAACCAAAGTCTAACACGTTCTGCATTTCTGATTTCATTAAAGAGAAATTGCAGTGTCAAATTAATAGCAAGATTCTCATTTCCCTGTGACAGACTCTGACGAGGCATATTAGAAGCACTTTGAAAGCTTAGCTTCTCTTGTTCTATCTTGCTAAGCAGTTCTTCAGGTAGCATAGCCTTTCCATGAGGTACAGGTTTCTGAGGTGGGCTAGCCACTGGCGCAGATTCCAAATACTTTTTAAATATATAAAACTCCAAAGCCAGAGTACACAGTACCCCACAAATGAATGAGATTATAGATACAAAAATAGTTTCTAAAAAGTCCATCTTGCAAAACTGATAAGTAAGGAAACGCGATGTTTCCAAAATAACTGAATCAAAGGTATAAAGCAAGGCTCCTGTCAACACAGCGATACCAGTAAAGAGTAAAAAAACAGAGCGTGTAAAGGGTGCTCAAGAGAGAAAGGAGCAGCGAAAGACAATCCTGTAGAAAAGAATTACAATATTTCCACAGTCTCATGAAAATCATCAGGAAGATGACTAAATCCTGTTCACAGATCTTGCACCTTAGGAACTTTTAATTGAAACAAATACGGTTTACGTCCAGCTCAACAGATAAATTGTCGTTCCATTTTAATACTTGTTTATTATTAGTAAATGCTCCAAATTCCAGAATGACCAGTATGTTCTCTACACAGTATCTTCACTCCTGCATACTCGTAAAACGAGCACTTTTCTTTAAGAAAATCTTAACATATTCTCCTAGCACCACATAGCCGATTCATTCTCGTAAAATAAAATTTCGCACATTTTATCAGCATAACCCGTTTGACGTGCCGCGGGTAAATAGTATCCTGACAGTTCTCTATTGATTTCGGCAGCCATCTTGATAGCTGCCTTAAAGGAGTAACAGATGTTAAATGAATTATCAGAGAAAAACCATCATATTATCCTTTTTTAAATCTCTTTTAGCTTCTCATGCAGTTCTTGGAGCGAGGATGGAAATATTTTTCCAATTGTGCACTGTACTTGATCGATCAGCTGATTTTGACAGATTTAGAGATTTACGCGTCGATTTCATTGACTAGCTGCGGCGTATCTCATGAAAAGATATATCATCTTATTGCGATATACTGACAAGCAAATATTGCGTACGAGTGTTCAATAATTATATATTTATAAACGCTATCAAAATTAACGAAAAATACACATCTACTAAAGCAGTAAACCTTGGCGCTTTAAATTAGCTTTAAACAATGGCGATCGGCGGGCCACAGGATGCTCAGTATTAAAAGACTATTTCAACGTTCTTTTCATATATAATTTTGAGAAAGCCAGGGAGCATGGTTTCTATTATAATTTTCGAATATAAATTGATCTTTATTTCAAATAGTTTATTATCATTAGAAAAGTTTATTGACATAGAAGTTTGAACTAATTATTTAAAGTCCTGAACGCCATGTCGGATGGCCATTCCAACATGGGCGTTCCTACTGTCGTCTGCAATATGTCAAATATCTATTGTGCCGTGTAAAAATGTCAGAAATCAGTGACATTTAACTAAGAGAAATCATTTACGATCATCAAGTCAAAAGTTATTGTGCATCGAAAAGATGGCTGTCGACCTATAACGATAATTTCCTGTAAACTAAAGTTTGGCGTTGGTGACTTATTGGGTTCCGAATTACAGGAGGATAGTGTTACTAGTAACTGATTTTTGGTTGGTTTCATTAACGCAATTAAGAAAATAAACGAGCAGTAGTGTACCGCCGACTCGGCCGTGTTTCATCGTTATTAATTCGTTCTATAAACTTTTTATTATTTCTTTGAACTATTTAAACTCCTGAAGGTTATGCTTTGTCATGATAATGGATCTATGGAAGAAAACGGTTTGAAATAATGTTTAACTCGTTGTTTTTTAACATTTACGGATACGTATCATATTTAGGGGATTTTCAGTGTAGAATCATTATTTCCTCTAACACTTCGTGCCGGTGTTTCCCTTAAAAATTGAATCATGACTTTCTGGTTTTTCCTAAGACGTGCTATTCGGCCTTTCGAGCTAGTGCAGTGATTGTCATGTAAAGATATCGGTACGTGTACACTGATTAAATCAACGAGTTAGAAGTTCTGTGAAGAGATTGTGCTATTACCGGAAAATAATTTTTGCGATATAAGGTTCTAAATATAAAACTTGAACTCTGTTATACATAAATCATTGTATGACTATTCAGTTATATTTTAAAAAGTTCATGTAACTAATAGTAAATTTCCTGTAATTGTCCATCCAAAAGCAACAGGAGCGCAGCAACTATAAGACTGTTTTGTGAAAGAGATTTTAATTAATACAAGTCTTAAAAATGGCTGCAAACAATTCAGTACAAACTACCACACCAAGAGGGTCAAGTCTGCCAAACCGAAATTCACAGAGGTCTACCTTATTAAAGGTTGTCATTTTAGGAGATGGAGGAGTGGGCAAGTCTTGCCTAATGAATAGATTTGTGTCGAATCATTTTGACGAACACAGTTTCCATACAATTGGAGTGGAATTTTTGAACAAAGACATTGAGATTAATGGAGAAGCCTATACTCTTCAAATATGGGATACTGCGGGACAAGAGCGTTTTAAAACGCTAAGAACACCATTCTATCGAGGCTCAGACATTTGCCTTTTGACTTATGCTGTGGATGATAGAGCCAGCTTTAGAAACCTTGCCCTGTGGAGATCCGAGTTTCTTTATTATGCCGATGTTGAGGAGGGTTCTACATTCCCTTTCATTGTCGTTGGTAACAAAGTATGTAATCCACTAGCATTAATTTCATAGCATAACATAAGTTTTACAATAAATCTGTCTGTCAGGTGGATGTACCAGAATCAGAAAAACAAGTCCCAACCGAAGAAGCTCGTGCATGGTGTGCAGAGAATGGTGATCCTCCTTTAGTGGAAACCTCAGCAAAAGATGCAACAAATGTCGAGGCAGCTTTTGGAGCAGCCGTAGCAGCTTGGGCAAGATTGGAAGCCAAACTGGACAGACCACTCATCGAAGATACTGTAGATCTATCAAAACAACAATCACCTCATCGATCCAGCTGCTGCATGCCTGGCACCGAGTAGGTTATTCCCATAGGGCATTTAAATAATATTTCCAAGTTTTCCACCCTTTAGAAGATCGCGTTATACTATATCCTTTTCAAGGCTCGCGTAATTTACGGCTGGTTAACATCAAACAGATGGTAAAGCATCCCTTGCGTCCAATCTATTTAGATCTGAGTCTGGAAATTTTTCAAACAAATTTCAAATTATCCATTGTTCATTATCATCACTGTACAAGAACTACATGCAGCATCAATTATCAAGAGATTCCAATTTAATAATTTCTCTCAGCTTGGCGTAATTCCCTTTAATTAGAAACAAATCACTTTTACAATCCGACCAAATTAAGGAACAAAAATATAAGCTTGATATTTCGTCGAGCTGATTCAAAATGGGTAATACCGTTAAATTGTTTTCTTCTGCTTTAACAATAATCCATTTACTGGTGATTATATCTTATTAGGTAATTGCGATTATCCAGCCAGTATCAAAGGGACGGTCGCAATTACGTGTCGTGAAACGCTGCGACGTTGACACGCAGCGTAATTTTCTTTCTAGGTCTAACAAAGTTATTTGAAGAGAAACCTTATTGTTCGCCTTCGATATACGCAGCCTCATAAAGCCTATCTCGTTCTTTGCAAAACTCGACGAGAATAGTTCTCCTTGTCGTACAAACTCATCGTCAAAGAAAGATTTTTTACTATTGACAAACACACTGCTAGGATTCTACATTGGACAATTGTACACTATGTTGCTTTTATATAAGGCTATAGTGACTATAATAGCAATTACTCAATTTTTAATTGAATAAACATTCTAAAGCATTCGAGAAGTTTAATGCATAAAAATATCTCGTTTTCAATTCTGAAGAAAATACTTTATAATCAACTTAAACTCACTCCCCAAATGAATTACATACTCTAAAGATGTATTTTCTCGAAGTAACGTGCGTTAGTTCTCACAGAGACACAAAATAATAAAAGTAAATGAAACATGTACAAAATTTCGAGCTTCTCACTTGTCGGACAAACATCACAGAAAGTCTAATCGAACGCACCCATGTATTTGCGCTTAATACAGTTCGTGAGCCATGCACAGTATTTATAAGTGTCTCACTTAAACACTCCACTGGTTTGTGATGAACTGTTGATTGTGAATTACATTGAATAAGACCAAGGTACATATACATATATAAATATTTAAAAAATACAATAGAATAGCTTCGTAGCCAAAATTTGCCTTATCCTCACGGCATTGAGCTGAGAGTAAGAGCAAACGCAGAGTTTAACTCCTCATAATATTCTCTTTTACAATTTCTTTTATCTCTTTCAAATCAAATGAGATATTTCATAGATAAAAGATTTAAAGAAGGAGGAACATTCGTTTATCGTTGCTCTCAATATCTTGTGACGCTTAATGCTTAAAATGGCTTTTTGGTAAACGGATTGGAAAGAAGTATCACGAAAATATTCAGGCAGCTTATTATATTTCTGTAGTTGTACGCAAATGTTGTATGGCAATTGGCCTTGAGATCTCGATAATCAAGAGGAAAGATAAGAAACAGCATAGCAAAAAAATAATGGGGCTTATAATATGAACAAAAGTAATCCCAAATATGTGAAAATACTCAAAAAATTTGTTAGTTTCCTTGTAATTTGTTACTCTTGTCTACCTTTCAATTGTTATTTTCTCATTTTCACTGACTCATACTGATTGCGTCTCAGTCATGTTTGCTGGTGCTTTTTGTATAGCTACATGTGGAATATTATAACGTATTACTCTATTAAACATTAGCTTAAGTTTAATAGTAAAAGAAGAATGAATAACTATACCCGTGTAACGATTAATAATTATTAAGAAATTACGTGTGTAAAACTAATCATATCAGAACAATGTGGTATGAAGAATTATCATACGCGATAAGTAAGTCATTTTTACCGTGATATTTTTCAATAAGGTCAGATAGTGATTCTGGGACGAACGTAGAGAGAGAAAGAGAGAGAGAGAGAGAGAGAGATACAGGAGAGAATAAAATAAAAAAGAATCTAACGTACATCAGATATTTTGCGTATAATTATGGTTTGCCAATTGTATCCATTTGAGATACGATTATTATTTTAGTTATTTCAATTTAAGTGTTGCTGCCTTTTCAAATAACGAGCAGGGAATCGCTCGTTTCCCCGGTAGAAAGTTATGTACGATACAATTTAAACAGTAAAGTTAAGCGTATGCCTTAAGGATTTTATAATTTTGGAAATGAATTTTTGCAGAGAAATAAATTTACACTGAGCTTGTTTCGACTCTGATATAATGACTGTACGAGTTTGCTACGTTATTCTATGTACTTCGTTACGGAGCGAAAAAAAAGAAGAATAAATCAGAAAACGGTTAAACAACAATCGATTTAACAATAATTTATTAATACCGCTAAAATATACAATAATGGATAACGTGTCTATAATTCTATTGGGTTCTCATTATTACATGAATCATCGACTTACTTACATTGTGCCACTTAACTGTTTTTAAATTTCGCTTTGAAAAAAATAGAAATAAAACGAACGCAGGGCTATCATATCGTCACTACATACTTTTTTTAAAAAGGGCACAAATCTTATCTATGCATAAATCGTCCAGGCTTTGCGCCTCGCATTAAAAAAGTACATGATAATTTTAATAGTATATACAAGTCGAGTGCGTAGATAAATTCAGGCATTTTTAAAAGATTTCGCTCCCGCCCTTACATCAGTTTACTCCTTCGCCACCATTCTGTACTACAGCATCACTCAAATAATCACTTCGAAGGATATGCTCGATGATTTATTAATAATTTTAAAAAAGATGAAATTATATTAAAAATTAAAAAACCACGTTGAGTCCCAAATTTAGCACCGAGTATTGCTCCTTAAATTTTTCTCTTTGGTCAAGAATACAAAATTTTTCCTGAGGCAGAGTCGTGGGCGGAACTAATCTTTTGGCACATACGCGTTACGTATTCTATATAAGACAGTTCGGTCTCGTAGAGCCTGATGTCACTTCATGTAATCAATGTAAATCAGTAACGTTTGCGTCCCTGCGTGCGCTGATCAGCCACCTATATTGTCTTCACAACAATTAGGTTTTAAAACTTTAATTACAATGTAATTATTATAGAGATACTTTCTGGGTAGAAAAATTTGTTGCCAGACACGTCCGGTAGATTGTTCCCTAGTGACAGTGTTCCGTGACGTCAACGATGACAGACTTCTTCCAGCCGAAGAGGAAGTAGCCAATAGCGGCGCCGAGGACTACGGCGATGCAGAGCCATACGTTATACGTCATGAATATTAACATCAGGAAGTAGGAGAGAACGATCTGTACAATATGCAGGAAGGTCTGGAAGCCGTGCATCCATGAGAACATCGTCGGTCTGTAAGAAGAAAGAAGAAAAAATTGACATTGAATTTCAACAGAATCGATACGGTACAAAAAGATGAAAAGAGGGAGAAAGTAATAAAGATGAGAAGGTCATAGGTCCCACACAGTTATAAAATCCAAAGAACATGGAAAGATCCAGAGAACGCAGTGGAGATTCTCATGCTGTAATCTCCTGTATGAATATTTCTGTGGACAGACAGTTTTTCAGTAAATAATTTTACTTACGGCTGCTTGTGGATAACCTCCCCGACCATACTAAAAGTTAAAGTTGATTAATTAGTGTGATTCTCGTTAGGCAGCGTGTATCACTTATTATCTGTTATCGAAGAACCAATATTCATAATCATATATCTCTTCATACTTACTGCACAACCTGGTTGTCCTCTGCAACAACATTCTTCTCTTGGGGCATTGTCACACTTCTGTACTGCAACGCGTTATACGTTTTCCAGAAGAGGTATTCACGATAATATTTGAGGCCTTCGTATAAAGCAGCCATTATCAGTATACCAATGAAAGATCCTATCAGACCACCCACCGACGAAACTTTCCAGCTCTCAAAAAGAACAGTTTCACAGAATCCACCATGGAAAAACATCTGGAACATATATGGATATACTTTTATTTTCTCTATATTAAATTTACATCACTTTCATTGCTTTATGTCAATACTATATGTGAATATAATACATACAGACATTCCATGCATCTCATGACCAGAGCATCCTGTATCATTCGTCCCCATAGCTAGGGAAGCACGGTGATCGTGTGCACCATGTCCCATGCTCGAATGATCCATACCAGCCATAGCTTGATGATCGTGTGTTCCATGACTACCAGAGCCATTCATTAGATGAGCAGCATGATCATGAGACATCTGTTACAAAGGAATATATAAATTTTAATTAAACATATAAATTATCATAGACAGGAAGTACATTTCTATGTATAAATCCTAACACCAAAAGAAGAACTACCTTCTTCTTGAACACTGTATTTATCACTCTTATCAAAAAAGTATCAATATTACAGTAAATCCTCCTCTGATCGACGGATGCACCACTGTTATCTGATGAGCTAAAGCAAACAGGAAAGGAGGAAAGTAAAAAAGTACACAGTGGTTCTCCAACACTAAGAATGCAATTCTGATTAATGAATGAATTTACTGTTTACAATAAACATAATCATATCACCTAGTCTGTATCCAACAACTATGTTGGCTAAGCTAATACTGAATTGTACAAAGCCAACAGTCTTTTGAATTTATGTTACTTTCTACAGGCTCACATTACAGCCTAGTGCGTTACTTCATTAAATACTAAAAGCTGATTGGCAGAATCTAATTGTGGTAGGGATAAGCGATTCCCCACGTGTTACCGACAATCTACAAGTATCATACAAGTGCATGATAAATTTCTTATATATTTTGTCAAAATGTGGTTTATATATATATATTTACACTTAATATTATTTCATTATCTTTCGCAGCATGTATCAAGGACCTGTTGATTGATAACGTGATTAAAAAAACAATTACAAACAGTGTAAATGTTGCAATTCTCTTACAGCTTCGAAAATAATTAAGCCAATTTGTTTACGTGGCGCAGCCGCATTCTCGTTACGAGAAGAAAAGAGAACGCGGTTGGTAACAATGTTGCCGCAAAAAAATACCGACTAGACAAACTTTCTAAACTTTATTTCCTCGGGCTGACTTTTGTCCGCTCACTGAGCATTCCCTGCGATATTTATATTGCATAGCTCAAGATCCCATTTTGTAGACAATTCGACTTCGTATCATTCTCATATCTTTATTTGATGAAGCATTGTAATAGCCATGGTGGGTGCTTTGATTTCTGTCACGTAAAAGAAACGTAAGTATTGAATTATTGCACAGCATTATATTGTATTCTTTTTTAGTATGTAAAACATTCCAATTTCTTCAATTGGTTGAATGAATATTTATCATTTTGACGATATCGAGTATCTTTCGGATATTCGATCTCATATAAATATTATCCAGAGCACTAAATATGTATCTGTTGACATTTCCTGTAAACTCCAATCGTACGTAATTCACAATAGTGATTAAGCAGAGGAATCATTGTCTACGTATTGTTTTTTTCAAACACCAAGTCGATAAAGAATGACGTTACGCCAGGAATTTACCCCGATATACAGCAGCTAAGAAACACGTGTTACCTTCGATTCTCCAATAACGTATCCCAGTCAGCGTAACGTGTTACAGAATTACAGGTAATAGGATGGAGAATAAAAAAGAAGTGAACCCTTTGTTATTTGAAGTTGAACCAATCACCAAAAAAATCCTCTTTCCATTAGGCTCTGCCCTCAAGTTTCAAAGATATTAAAAGCAAAGAAAAAGAAATCCAACAGATACTGACTAGTCATCGTACAGTGGTTCTCAATTAATGAACATTAATTAAGAAGTAGAAAAAGAAATTGAACTGAATGTGAATGCAAGTAAAAGTTACAGTTTTCATATAAAAATTCATTGCAACTTATTTTTTTCAGGGTTACAGTGCATTTTGATAAGGCTATCAGTAACAGGATTATCTTGTATTCGTTACAGAATGTAAGTGAACAAAATATTATTTTTTTTCAAGTAACATTCATTACCGTCTTGTACCAACTACGAGTCTTATTGGCGAATTGAACTCATGTTAGTTCCGGGTAGTCAAGGATTCTCATCAGTATTATATGCCATATTGTTTTCTTTTAACGTTCTATTATCACGTATAGACTAAAGGCAGTCACGTTTTGCCAAGTAACATGAGACTGTAGTCGACGAGTGAAAAACTGAGACGATAATGAACGATAAACTTGGATCGTCTTTCCTCTATATGTTTTTATCTCATTGTTAACCTTACTTTTTATTTTCTATTCCTTGGAATAAAAAAACAACAGGAAAATGTGGCTTCACCACGATAAGACGATGATGATATTCATGTTTGTGCAATGAAAACGGAAACGGTGCTGAGAGTATTACTTGAAATAACAGAAAAATTAAGGATTCCCAGAAAACTTCATTCTAAGTATATAAGAAATTTTTACACATAATTTATCGACTGTTCGTAAGTTGCTTTACCCAATTGTCTATATATATATACATATATCGGCTTCCTAATGATATCTAGGAATTCCCAGCATTTCCGGAATGTTTCATTAGATTTCCACTATTAAATTCTCTTATTATGGCTCAACAAAAGCTGCTCTTCTTATGAATATAAAAACTCATAATTTTTCAATTTCATTTTTTCCAAATCAAATAGCCATGTTTGCACAAGAATCGATGGTGTCTCTTGCCGAAAAATTGACGCACTTCTAACTGATAACGATATCGCACTATGAAGTCCGAAAATAAAAAGGTATCTTTTCAGCTGGCTTCTTATCGCATGTCAATTAAATTCAAATGTTTACCTCTCCATCAGCCAACTCTTGGTCATTAATTATATATTTATACAATTGTGAACCTCGAATTCGCCTACGAGCTGGATCTTATTGGTTTCAATTGACTCAATAACGTAGAATCATATTTAATTACTTCAGCACCACGTAGCACAAAGGAATCGTGTTTCTAAATGCATACACTATAATATATTTATGCGTACAATATTTAGGTCTAGATTTAACACTAAACGTACCATCGACCGGTCATTTGACCGTTTTAAAGCCAAAAATACGTTTATAAAAAATTGTCCGTATGTTTAGTGTTAAATAATTACTGATATTAGGTAATACAAAATGTCGAGGATAAATAAATAGACAAGGACTGGTAACTCCATCAATAACGACTTAACTATAGTACTCGCTACGGTATTCTTATCAAACCATTATGATAATCGATGATAACCATTTCTAAAAATTCATTGAACCCCGAAAAGATTATCGAAAATTCCTTATCAATATTGTAAAGATATTTATATCGGTTAATTAGACTTTATCTATATGTATTTATAAACGTAATAGATTCTAAAGTTGCATTCAAAGATGTGCGTAATCTCTGTTATCAAAAAGTCTTAACGATCTGATAGAGACTCTATTCGTTCCGCATGTCAAATTAATTTAGTGACCATAACAAATGGGTCATTAGTTTTAATAAATTTTTCTAAAGACATTAACGATCTACCATATATGCGCAATACTGATTAGAGTTTTATAATCGATCAAAGGGATATACAGATATGCGAATTGCTTAGGAAACAGCTGTCAATGTAATACGTAAAGATTGATAATAATGAAACGACGCAATGTCGATCCATGGTATTAAATTTTAAATAATTTTTGTTTTACAAGGTGACAAGAAGATCCATCGAATTTTACATAAGTTTCAGGATCTATATAAATATATGTGGAGGTACGTAATGCTAGATATGTATGAATAAGTCAATAGTAATGAACTCTCACCTTTTACAATGTTTGAGGTTATGTCACGTTAAAATGTCAATTATCTTTAACACAGCTGGCCGAGATTAATTTAAACTTCCGTAACGTTATGTACGCTTGAAAGTCTCTTCCGAATAGAGCACTACTCACGGATCCATTAATGATGAAACGCAAGCTACTTTCCCATATGTACCAATCACCATGGACTAAAGAAACTAGAAAGATGGCAGCGTGCTGTTTGACATGTTGAATGAATTTATCGGACGGTAAGTCGATCAACGTTAGTTCTTTATAAGAACGACAGGTGTCACCATTTAGCGCGCTTAAATTCGACAGAGCTTATCGTGAGATAAAAGCTTCCAGTTGTACGATACTAGAGGCGCTGTTACTCCTGGTATTAAAATTTTGTAAAGTAATGGACATATCTTAGTACAGTGTAATCATGCGCGGTAAATATCTCAGTTGTGTTCAATTTGCAACTGTCAAACTGTAGAGTGTGATAAAGTCTGCAAAAGGAAATTCGCGATGTCGTTTATGCCACTGTGGCCAAATTTGCAGCCCAGAGCGACCGATCCATTGTGGTTCTACGCGGATAAGCCCTGCGACGACGAGAGCGAAGTACTTGCACTGGAAACAGAGCATCAGGCGTGGGTACTGTTTGTTTTTCCGTTTCTCCTGTAAAAATACGACGTTCCAATTAAAATATTCTTTAATAAACTCTATCGTATTCTTGTAGAGAGAACACCTAAAAGCTGAAGGATGCGATCACATTCCAATTGGAAAATCAGCCAGTGATGTAAGTATAACCTCAATTTTGCTTCCTCTACTTGTCACTTCTTGTACTTTCTATTAATTAAAGAATAGAACAAAATATTACGTAAACATATTGCTTCAAAGGGAAATCGTCACGGTAAGCATCGAATTATCTGAAGCATTATTTTTTTTTGCAAATATCTATATGCACGATGCATCTTTCACCCATATGTCATCCGCGTGTCGCAGGTTGCATATCGTCAGGCGCCATGCATTATCACCGCCTAACTTACATTACAATGACACTAAGAATAAAATACTAAAAATGTGCCAACATCACGAAATAATTTGCACTGTCACTGCGATTTCCGTAAACAGTTATGTTGATCGATAGCGATTCCTTTCTTTTTGAAATTTCGAAACGAACGATAGCGCGATTAGCTAAGAACGAAATTTCTCTAAATTACCGCAGTTTCGTGGTTCCGAGGAGGAGGAGGAGGAAGAGGAAGAGGAGGAGGGCGAGGGCGAGGAGGAGGAAGAATCGGATACCCACGAGGACGAGGAAGAAGAATTGGATGAAATCGATATGGAAGTGAGCTACTCTCATCAGCAACAAAGATCCAGTCCAACGGACACTGTCACCGATCCCGTCTCCATAAGAATGGTCAACGTCCACACCACCCGTTTTTCTTAATCCTAGAGTGTGCCTGCACACTTTTCTCTCTTCTCTATGTCTTCTCCTATGGATGTTCCTGGCAACTGGTACAGACCAAGAGACGTAGACAATTAGCAGTAAGCAACATAAATTCATTTAAGCAATGGCCCATGGGCGTCCTCTGGAAAATTGTTTCTATACCGACTGGCAGAGTGGAAAAATAAAGAATTTATTTATGATTACATATGAGCGTCGGCACGTTTTACCATGGAGATGTACTTCACGACGAGGAACCTCGGTTGCAGCTAATTCACTCGACTACCGGGCATTCCTATAGAGTACAGGGGCATGTCGGACGTCTAGAAAAAAAATATCTCGATTCCCCCCCAGAGTCCGATGACGTCCTGACGTCTCTTTTCTCTGCGCCGTACTTCATCAGTCCCATACGAAATTATCCATCCTCTATGCACGAGAAGCAGATGCATACAACTATCAATGCATACGTTGCGAATGGTCAGCATTTTCGATGTGCTCCATGCTGGGTCAAGAACCCGCACAATATGCTTTTAGAATGACTGGGACTTGTTACGTGTGATAATCATTCTCAGAGTATCATTTGTCTCTCTGCAGTTCATTTGGATCGAAGCAAATTCAACGAGAAAGTCACCTTTCATTCGTACTGCTGATTCTTTCATTTCCAATTAGTTACCACTTTCTGCACCGTCAGGCTTGCCGTTTGTGTAACGGTTCAGTAATATATTTTTTTATTTAATATTTTATTATTACGACAGATGCAAACAGAATCCCAGGATCCTCTACCCTTTCGAAGATTCCTTTAAGACGTAGGACCTTGCATCGACTCGACCGGGACACTCTGTATACTCTCTACTAGGTGCACGAAGTATATACCTATATTCTTCTCGCTGACTCTCTCAGCGAGTAACTGAAGTAAAGCCAGGTTGGTGCCCCCGCTAGGGTGAACGAACGGGTACGCTCAAGCAAAAGCGAACCCGTGTGCTTCCTCGCGTTGCGCACCGGCCTCTGCCAGTACCCACCGCCTCTGACGTCATAAGGGATAATTGGTAATGTCAAAAAAAAAAAAGCGAGAACGAAATATCGGCCAAGTTTCCAGAAGGAAAGCTACCGGTGAAAAGGTAGATGGATAGCAGAGGCAAAGTTACAGTCGGTAAATGGTAGGTATAGGAAATATTTTATTTTTCCAATAACATTCCAAAGACAGTACGAAGAAGCTCGTTGCACTTCGCGGAGATGAGTCTCACGCGATTAACCCTGAAATATTTGTAATTTTCATATCCCTCCTGTCATCCGCCATCAAGCCGAACAAAGCAACGGAGAATCGCAGCACGGCGTGTCGAAGGTCGATTTACCAAATAGAGAAAATACTGCTCTCGGAAATCGCTGTCAGTATTATGGAATCTAAGGAATCCTAGTCGTCCTTCTGCGTCGATGCATTCCCGCAGTGCGTATTCACCAGGAGTCAACGAGGATGACCATTCTGTTCAATGGAAACTCTACGTAGATCCGAACAGACTACCGGGAGGACTGTATGTACCTGTCGTCAGGTACTTATCTAATCTAATATCACCAGTTGCTGACCTACCTCGGGAGAAATTACATTTTAAGAATACAATAAATTCAAGGGTCGCAGTACGGTGAATCGGAGTCCAAGGGGGATGACGTTCTCGATGCAGAAGTCATCTGCGCTGAAGAAGGACAAGAACGACCAGTACGATATTCTTATGGCGAGTGCGAGGGAGACAATGGCACTCGTAGAGAAAGTAGAGAGTGAGAGAAAGAGACAGTGAGAGTAATCGTGCAAGAAACGTAGGAGGGATAGCGCCTCTGTGCCCACGAGGTGGGGGGACGGCAGAAGCGAGAGAGGGGTGATAGCGCCTTCGTAATGGAGAGAACACGCTAAGGGAGAGAGAGAGTAGTGGGGCTCGGAGCCAGAGGAAACGGGACAGGTTCGGGTCGGCGGTGTAATCCAAGAGAGAACACGGCGCAGCTACAGCAGGAAGAGGCGCACGAGCAAAACCCGGGACTTCGTCGTGGTTCCTAGTCGCCGGCGCTCAGTCGTACGCGCGTTTACAAGCACGACACGCGGGTTGTGGCTGCCCTCGTTGCTCTCGAGAGTGACGCCGCGCACGTGCCCCTGTATCTATTAAAGGGAACCGGGTCCGACGACGATTTACGGAGACGGGACAGTGACACTGCTCATCGCAAAGTGATTGTAACAGTGACAATACCCCATTCATTGTACAAGGTGACTATTCGCAATTTCTTTCACCTGTGAACAATCGTGCGGTGTGCTTTCGTATTCGATCTTCTTCACGTGTGTCATTTGTGTCGTAATTGATATCGTTCTTTGGTGTAATCTCTTATACATTTACATCTGGTGAATTATCATTGTAGTTGCTACCAGTGACTTCGTGGTGCATCTCTCAAGAGACGTGGAACTCGATTGCCGTGATTTCATATCGAAGCTGTGCAACTCGGACTGAATTTTATTCCCAATCGCATCCAGATGTCACGGATATATCGGCTACCGGTGAGTGCGTGTTATTTTTATTTAATTTATGATCCACTTAAGCGGTACAATGTGGTACGAAGTCGTGACACAGAAGGAGTATGGTAATCGAGGGTAGAGGTTAGTGAAGAAGTGGAAAAATATGCTTATCCTCGTTCGCCCAATTTAATTATTAATTTTTCATGGTAACCCGACGATTTTAACGTGGATATTTTTCAGAGATATTTTTTATTTCTATTTTTCTATATCAATTCTCAGCTGTTTTCTCTCTCTCGTGTCAAACTTTACGGTCCTTCGTGTACACTCGTCGGGCCTTTAACTCTGTATGTTATGTCGGGCAGTTTCGTTGTCGTAAAATTATTTACGATTTTACGTAAAGTTAGAGAAACAAAAGTGGCCTTTTTTAGGGAACCAAGGGCGCTATTATTTGCGCGGGAATCTTTAACGGCTCCGCGTACCGGTGAGGAGAAATTGGGAAGGAAAGTATGAGGGGTAACTATGTCGGAGAGAGAGAGAGAGAGAGAGAGAGAGAGAAATAAGTTTATTCGATCGGGAGTCAACAGACTCCTTAGACCGGGTAACACAAAATAGCGATATTTACATAGATAATTGATAATAGTAGAGAAACAGGTACGATATAAACAATATAGATACATAATCCTGACAAGTGGTGTAAATAGAATAATAAATAAATAGTAAACAGTATAGATACATAGTGCTGACAGGTAGTATAAGTAGTATAAAATATAGCAAAAGGTAGCTACAAAAACATACATGCAATACATGATAATATGGATTAACCGAATAAAATAAAATAAAATAAAATAACATAACTGTGCGATCAAAAGAAAAGAAACATTTCAAAATGACAGAGTAGCGATATGCTCCCGCAATCGTTTCTTAAAAAGAGAGAGAGAGAGAGAGAGAAAAGTCAAGTAAAATGAGTCCGGGAAAACTCTCGTAAGCTCATGATATTTAATAAGCTCAAAATCGAGTAAGACCGTAAAAGGACTTTTTCCTCGTTTCCTGTCTCAAAAAATTGTACTCCAAGTAGACGGAAAGAAAACAGTGCATGTGAAAAATTTTTTTTTATGTTAATTTCAATTTTTTTTTTTAGTTTTTAAAAAAAACGAAGCATCATTGCGATACCGTAAAGGCATCGTGTATACTGGACACGAGGAGTTAATTTGGTTTTATGAAAAATGGAATGAGCATCCGAAAAACTTGGCACTTCTCCCACTACCAGTAACGCACATAGGTAATACCAATGAGCAACCGGGGTCTTGCGACCGAGTAGGCGCATTATCGAGCATCGTTGGGTCCAGGTTAAGATAGAGCGAGTGGGTAATGCTGTACTGTTTGCGGCGGCCCTGCGGGGTCTCTGACCGCCCGTCCGCGCCTCTCAACTCTCAAGTCGAGTGGACTCGACTTGATTTGACTTCGACTTGACTCAAGCTGACTTGACTTGGCCGAACCGAATGCCGACTGGTTCCTTCGAGTCCTGGGGCTTAGCCAGAGGCCAGACTTATTAGTACGACACCTTAGATGAACATTGGGAAACGAGTATAATCGTAAACCGGGAAATCCTGGAAAACCTCTCCCCAGGATAGCCGTCGGCGTTCTATATATATATATATAGCATATCCAGATCCTAGTAAAGGAGACCCAGTACTCCTGGTGAAAGAGTAAAGACAAAAAGGAGTGAGCCAAAAAAAGGTAAAAAGAAAAGGTTAATCATTTTTATCGGTTTCTGACCACGCCCTATGACTTTGCTTTCGTACTTAAAATATTTTTTTTTTATAATTTAGGCGAAAATTCATTTACGCGTCTCCTTCGCTAGCTGGGGAAGCTTTCACCAGGTGCTGGGAGTCTACGAAGACTCTGGGACTTAGTACCCTCGTGGATGTCTGACTCGATGGGGATATACCTACTTCGATAGGGCTTAATATTATAGATCTTCGGCTACCATCGATAATACGATAGGCCAGACACGGTTAACATAGATAGTTGAGAGGATGAAGGTATTTGGGTGTATTCATTTTGTATTTGTACAGACTGTACTTGGGTTACGTAACGTCGCGCGGACGTTTAATTAGCTTAGGGTGATGCTGCACAGTGCTTATGAAAATTCCAAGATTTAACGGGGATCCTATTAAAACGAATATCCAAGAGTCGATCCTTTCACCTGCTTTTATTCGATACTTATCGATCGACGCGTCTGACCTGTCTGCGCGCGTTTCCACTTGTCCTACCGTAACGGCTCGCACTACTTTTACGAGCTCAGACATTTGTTTGTCTCCAAAGGGCCAAAGTTATTTTACAAATTCAATATTACGAATTCCTCTTTTTTTTATGTGAAATTTAAAAATGCAGTTACCTATCCCACAAAATGTACTGACGATAGTTGAAAGATTGGTCTGATTAAAAATTAGTGATGCTCGGGAC